TTTTTTTTTTTTTCGCCCTCTCGCACCGATTTTGGGGTACCCAGAGGATGTCATCCATAAAAATAAAAAAGTGTGGCCTAATTAAACAACGACAAGGACTTTTCTCAGACAAGTTTTGAATGCCATCTCAGTTTTGTTGGTTTGGGATTTGACTTAAGTATCTTATTATGTGTGTGTTAGGTTGTCTGTTACATAGTCTAATATCTACTAAAGCAAGGTATTAAACACTGACCACTAGCTGTTACTACAGCATTCCATCTCTGGTATTTACTCTGACAGTTCCCATTGATTAAATATAAATATATATTAAATATATCCCTTCTTTTCCTTAGGCACATAAAGCTGCACTATAGTTGGCAATAGAAAAAAAACTGATCTGTACCCTGGAAAAGTTAGCATTCATTTCACACTTTGACAATGTAAAACTGTTTGGTTATTTGATACCCTCAGATTCTGCTGGCACCATATTAGGGTTGAATGTTATAACAATTTTAGAGCAGCCCAATGATAAAAACAGTCAAACTGGTGATCCACAACAGACATCACACATCATGATTTAGGGAAATCACCATGAATTAAATGTAGTGCAAATACCCACACATAGTTAACTACCTAATAAGTGCTTTTCAAATGTAAAATCAATAAACTGTGTCCACATTTTCCTTTGAATTGTTATTTGTTATGGGTGCATTTTCTGTAAAACAGCAATCCATCAATTCATAAAAACACTCAATCCAAAATTTTTATAGATAAAAGTAGAAATATCACCCTCACTTTTATGCATACCAATGCCTCACATTTAATAATCACTGAAGCAATATCCGTGTAATTTGCATTATTATCCAGCAAAATTTCAACTTTTCTCAATAAAGCATAGGGAGCTTTCAGATAAACCCATCATACTAGCTGGACCGCTCCAAATCTGTTAGGATTCTTGCTTCAGAGACCATTCAGAACAAGGTGATCCGTGGACTAACAGACACACAGACTAAATATGGCTGACTCACCTAAAAGAAACACGGACTAACTCCATAATGGTCTCCCTGCCTCCACAAGTGCCATTGCTGCAGGGACCTTGCAATTAAACCTTGGAACTTATATTTTATCCGTTTAATGGCATGTGAAGGCGGGGAGACCAACAGAGGATTAAGTGGCACTACTTTGAAGTTTGGTCAGCCATATTTAGTTGGCAGATCAGTTAGTCCGCAGATCATCTGTTCTTAATGGTCCATAAGTATAGTCACTATAATCAGCTTAATTGTCTGACATGCCTCCTTGACCAGCAAGGGAATAATAACTATCTTGCATGATCATCTCACCAAAGCTCTTTCACTTAGGGTGTGTTAAACAGTTAAGCTGACTATACTGAATGCACTTTATGGAGAATCCCCCGCAGAGTTGGGTGGATCCAGCTAGTATGATGTGTTTATCTGAACACGTTCATATATTCCATAAGCCTCATTTCATGTAAGTTTCAAAATAAATTTATCAGACAAAGAAAAAAAGCATATGGTATGTGACTGATGTCAAAACCTTTACAAAAATAGTAAAAACAGTTTAGCAAAAGGTTTAAAGCTTTTTGTTTTCTCAAAAAATGTTTAAGATGAAGTGCATGTTAGCATATTCTCTACTATTAGTAATTTCCAAAATTATCAGTACATTAGAATCTCTTTTCTAAAACCTCCTGTTACTACAAAATAATCCACAATGGGTCAATTCTAAGTACACTATAGTGTGCTTACCATTGTAAGTATTATCTTGAAAATAAAAGATAAATCACTGATTAATGCACTTATATAAATAGGTACAAAGACTCCATGCTACATTAATGTCATTTTAAAAGAGAAAACAAGGTTTAAAGAAATAGGAAATTTTATTTGGACTATCAGAATAAAGGTGCCACACAGTACACTCAAGTTTTCCTACGCTCAACTCAGCTGCACACAGGAGAGCTTAATGCACCTCAATCAGTTCATTTCTTCTGAAAGAAAAACCTCGTAATATGTGCTAAATGATATTTTGAAATTATATTCATTGCCTCATTAGGAGATGTGACATCACTGACACTGTGCCCTCATGTCATTTACCTCTAGTAGCTGTGATCAGTGCACTAGTTAATCTGACGCTCAACTGCACTTGTCATGACTCTTGTCCCAACCAATGCTTTTATAACGAATTAGACGCGGTGTTCTGATTGCAGAGAACTATTGATCATGTGGTAAAACAAATTATCAATGATCTTACATCTGATTGGCTGGGGGACACCAACTCGGGAGTCGTAATCATGGTTTGATTGGAAAATGTTACTCATTGGTTAATTGAGGTGTTAAGCTAACCAGTACAGTATGTGAGACAGCTGTGGATACAGCTATTACAGCATGTTTACTCACATAATGTGCATGCAGCTCTCAGAAACCTTCACCTATAGATCCTCAGATCAAAACACCGAAATTTTTTTTCTAAGGGCTTAAGCACATGATTGATGCTACTCTGATGTGAAGAGAAAATGTATTTTAGTATTCTTTCTGAGGAATCGATAAGACAATAACCAACAAAACATACAAATAATATCTAACAAAACAACGAGAAGCAGTTTAATCAAAAACTAAAACTAGCAGGCAACATGCATAAGAAACATCACATTTTAGACAGGTATACCATTGACTTCTGTAGTTTTTGTCTTCTTAGGAACTGAATATCTTTCACCTGCAACATCAAATTAGCAGAAAGCTGCAGAGAAGTGCAACAAAAATCAACTGAAGCTGCCAGACAGTGAAATTTCAATACAGCCATCACTACTAGTACCCTACTTCTATTCTCAATTGTCCTGTTTTTAGAAATTACATTTAGTAGAACTCAATATTCATGCACAAAGGGCATTTTATATTAAAAGTATAAATAAAACAAAATGAATTATATGATGAATTTGGTCTCTGTAGGCCCAGAGTTGTTTAAAAAGTCACTTGACCATCAGTAATAAACATGTTCGAAAAAACTGTCATGTTATTTATTAGCTTTAAAGTGGTTCGTAAAATTTTACAGCCTATACTTTATAATATTCATTAATTCCAATACCTCCATGTATTTCAATACCTCCATGTATTTTATATGAAGGCAACCTATTTCGCTGCTATAAATATATTTAGTCACATGTACCATGACAAAACAGTCCTTTGCAAAAAGAGGATTAACAGCAAAAATATCCCAATCTGTTGAAATATTGAAAATATTTATGTGTGTGTTTAATCTGATGAGTGTTGTGCTAAGCCATCAAAGCTGCAGACCAGAAGAATATTAATGTCAACATATATCATTTGGTAACAGTGTTTACCTATAAATCACAGGTAAGTTAGTATCATCACAGAGATCTGTGCTGGTCTTCAGATTCAAATATCTAAATTTTCCAAGAAACAAGTTAAATATTGATACACTTTCTTACTGTTTCCTGCCTTAGAACTGCAACAACAGCACCTGTGGACATAGTGTTTACTTTACTGAAATAAACTTCTCAACACCTGTTTACTAGGGCTACATGTTACCCAGAAAATGAGGCAATGTTTCAGTAAACAGGTTATGCATCTGGTAGACTATCAAGGCTATCAGGACATGGTTTGTTGTATATATTCTGATAGGCAAACATGTACACAAATACAGAGAAATTCATGCAAAGGAGTTCAGTTCAATAAACTTTAGCGATTGCCATTTGTGAACAATTTCCATTTAGATGAACTGAGCTGCATGTAATTGGGGAGCTGGAGCTTGGTTTGTGAAAGGTCATGACCAACAATTTAATAAACGCACTGGTCAGTGAGCGGTGAAACCAGGTGCCATTGACCTCTCACGTTGGGGAATAGGATTTCAATAATAATGAAGTTAGCAAATATCATCTATCAGAGTCAGTATGGCAAATTTGAATGTGTTTGAATATATACCGAAAAAGAAAAAAATGGCCAAAATGTAGGTTTTAAACAAAAGGAATACAGGAAAAAAAGATAACATTTTAACAGAGACCTCTGCTTTCCTTTTTTAACTAGTCATCAACATACAATTTTGATTACAAACATTATAATCATATTTCTATATAATACTTCAGGGGGAAAGATACCTGGTATAAACTATTTATTTTAAAATTATAGATTCATTATCCCTCATTATAAGACCTTCTTCAAGAATACAGCTATCATTTCTTTTTACTTTTCACAAAAAAAGTGAAAAGACTTATAGACAAGTGCAGACTGCTAACCATAGCTTTCAAGGATGGTATTAACTTTTCTAGCATATCCAATATATGGTCCATATTGGAGAATATAAGATAAGTTAGCTAAATACCAATCCTCCATCTTAAAATTTCAGCTCTTTATAAAGAAAAAAGATCACACTATAATTCTTGAAGGAGATAAATAATAATTCCAGTTATAAGGCAAATAGTTATATGTAGTCTGCTGTATATATTGCTGACTTTCTATCAAGTGTTAATATGAAGGTAGGGGGTAATGGCATTTTTTTTTCCTTTTTAGGCACACATTTCTGCTGAAAATATAAAAAAAATGCTAGATATGGAAATGTGGTTTAGATGCTGATTTCTGACTTCCTTGAAGTTATGGCGAATGAGACAAATTTTGAGCATTGACTTCAAAGACATAATAAATATGTGCTGATAATAAGTATTGAAGTCTAGGTTTCCTGTATAATTGAACACTCCTATTTTCAATATCTTGCATTTATTGAGCAAGAGCTAGAATGGATGCCGATACAATAACACACAATACGATGGCTTCAACTGCTACCTATGACAGTATTAATGAATATGAATAGTTGGTGGAGCCGACAACACTGTACAATAGTGTAATGCTGAGCAGTTTTTTTTTTTTAATTCTCACTTGAGTCTGAAATAATGGATTTTTCCTTAGAAATTAAGGTGAGGAAAAACATTTAAAAGATTAAATGCACTCATGCTTTGGAGCGCAAAGGGTTCCACACCATGTGGAATGTCCCCATTTGAACTCTACTGAGAAATTCGATCGAATGTATTGATACGGATCACAGTTAAAATATAAAAAAAATATAGATGGAAAATTGCGGTCTCTCTCTCAGACTCTCGGAACATGAAAAGAAACTGATCTACCACTTGACATGTAAGCTTGTCATCGTTATTATCATACCTGGACTTTTCCTGGCCTCTTCAAACCTCTGGAGTTCAAGCAGCAGCTGCTCTCGCTCCTCGTTGTCAAGCGTGTAGATGAAATCTTTCGCTCCAGCCGTCGTCCTTACGTCCCAGTGGACGCGGCGTAAATTCTGTGAGCTAACTGCAGATATGTTTCTCAGTAATAAGCCGCTGTGAAAAGTGTGCGATCTACATTTCTTCGTGTGTACATAATTTAATGTCCGAGAGGCGACTTTCGCTGCCCTGCTGGCCATCTTGGAAGCTCGAAAATTGTGTCAAATTGTGAACTTCCGGTTTAGAGACCCGTAAGCTCAAATGTGCCCCAAATTAAACAGGGCAAATTTTTGGTTGCAAAACCGAACACCAAATCTCCAGCAAGTCTCTGTTTCATGTTTATCATTACTTAAAAATAAAGTTATATTGAAATTTGCTTTATTCGATGTTTTTTTACAAATAAGTCAATATAATTGATATCCCCCAGCTTGTGTTATATTTTTCCTTACGATTTTAGCATCACATGATTTGGCCAAAATGGCGAGGACCATGGAAGCGTTGTTCGTTGTTTTGACGGTGACAATTGCAGCCACGTATCATGTTGATGCTGCTAAGAATGCATCACTTCCCTTGGTCCTGTGGCATGGAATGGGTATGTACAGTATGAATCGATTTAGGCTCAAATCCTGTACCACAAAACAACTACCAACGTTTTATCAATGCATAAAGTTGCCAGGAGAATACATTTCTTCAGGTTGATGATCTGTAATCTGTCGCTATATCTGTTGCAAGTGTACAAGGCATTATTGACATGGTTGAAAAAAGTGCATTATCATAAGGATGCAAAGTGTAAAGTTGCTCTTATTCCAAACAAAATAAAAGGAAACTAATGTGACTAATCTTTGCCCTTCAAAATACAGTGTACTAAACCTGATTTGGATTGCCATTCATTAAGTTCATAAGGGCACCTGTCAGTTGGTGTTAAATGTGCAAAGCTGCACCCCAGTACCGTTATATGTGATCTAGAAATAAAAGCAAAAATGACATTGAGCACAAAAAGGATGTTATATATATATATATATATATATATATATATATATATATATATATATATATATATATATATATATATATATATATATATATACATACATACACACACACACACACACACACACACACACACACACACACACACACACACACACACACTAGTATATATAAGGACAATAATGAATGGTAATGAAGTATAATGAAATTTTAATTAGAGAAGCACTTTGAAACAAGTTAAAAATGATATTTGTTGAAGGATTCATCTAAGTTAATTTGTTATTGTTTCAGGGGACAGCTGCTGCAATCCATTGAGCATGGGAAATATCAAGAAGGTTATAGAGAAGAGAGTTCCTGGAATCTATGTGAGGTCACTGATGATAGGAGACAATGTGGCTGATGTAGGTATCTTATATATGGGGATTCAATTTTGACTGATATTTTCACTGGTGCAGCTTCATATCATTTTCCTTTTTTCAGGCTTTTGTGAAATCAGTTTGTAATTCATAAACAAAGGCTGCTTATTTATTTGAATTTTTTCCTGACTTGAAATGTTAATATGTTCATGTTATTAAGAATTGAAATGTTTTTACCTGCAGTGTAGCAAAGCAGGTATACTGATCATTAAATTACTCTCTTCTCTCATCTTAATCTTCCAACATTTTGTAAACCAGAGCCATTTCCACCACAGATCCAGGCTTTAAGCTTGTTTTGAAAAGGATCAAAACATTTTGCAATGTTTTTGAAGGAATCAAAACATTTTTCTTTGATCCCAGACCAAGTTGTTAAAAACCTGATATGTTTTATTTTAGGATACCATTAATGGGTTCCTTTTGAATTCAAATAAACAAGTGGATATGGTGTGCAAAAAGATTGCTTCTGACCCCAAGCTTCAGAATGGTTACAATGCCATGGGCTTCTCTCAAGGAGGACAGTTTTTGTATGTAGACAAATTTCATGAAACATTCTATTTGATTTTTTTCCCTTTTTCAATACTTTTGTGTTTTGAAAAATATTTCATTTTACATTCTATATTGATATTTGAGGTGATTTGTTCCAAACATTGGATTTAAAAAAGATAATTTAATATCAGACAGAGGTGAAATAAAATTTATTTATTTATTTATTTTTCTTATTATTTTTGGGGGGTAACTAAAAATTTTATAATTATATAATTGTGTGGCTAAATATAGAAATTAATTAAAGGTGTTCATATTTCGATGTCAGGCGTGCAGTTGCTCAGAGATGCCCCACTCCACCCATGAATAACCTCATCTCTATAGGAGGCCAGCACCAGGGTATGTGTTTATATGTTATATATATATATATATATGTATTATTTGTGTTATATTCTTACTGAAATTATGTAAAACTAAGTTAAGCATTGTTATTGGATTTCACTTATAACCACCTTATTGCAATTATCAAAACACAAATTACTTTTAAAAAGTGGAAAAAATTGTTTTTGCATTTGAGAATGTATAGAATGTATTTTTTCCTATTTCAATATTCTAGGAGTGTATGGCTTCCCCAGGTGTCCTGGGGACAACTCCACCCTTTGTGACTATGTCAGAAAGTTGCTGGACCTTGGGGCATATGTCAGGTAGGGAACAGCTTCTTGAAATCGGCTATTATTTAATTCATTTAATTCTTGCATTAACAAATTATTTTCTGAAAGTAGTGATTGACAGTTTTTAAATAATGACTTTAAATCTGTGTAAAAATGTAACTTTCAGGATCCTTCTCTCTCTTTCAGTGAATATGGTATGAAGAGAATTCACATCTCTGACTTTGTTCTATTCATTCTTTATATTCCTGGTCTTTTTTGCATCCTATGGCATTTTCTTGTTTGATGTTTTCTACACAGTCATGGAGTTGAAAAATATTAACTGTTTGATTTATATTTGATTTCAGCTTTGTCCAGGAACGGTAGGTTACTGTCTTTTCTTCTTCTCCTCGTACAGTATTTGTTTCAGTGAATTATACTATAACATATATTTATGAAAAGGTTATTTTTATGTAAATTTGTTTGATATGCTAGAGGGTAAATTTGTCAGAATACATTGTTTTGATTTCAATAAACAAATAGACTTTCATTTGTCAAAAGCGCTAGAAAAATTAAGGAACTGATCAACATTGTTTTCATTTCTTCATACAGCTTGGTGCAGGCCCAGTACTGGCATGATCCTATGAATGAAGATGAATACAAAAAATACAGCATATTCCTAGCAGATATTAACAATGAAAATGTAAGACACATTGTTTTCTGAATAATCCATGTACATTTTAAAACAGTCACAACTTACAGGTCAATGGTTTTTGTTACTAGATATAATTATCACTGTCTATTATATATTCCCGTTTGAGTACATTTTCACTATGACTATGGCCCATATTTCATTTTAAATTTTCAGGTTAAAAACCAAACATACAAGACCAATCTGATGAAACTGAACAAGTTTGTGATGGTGAAGTTCCTTCAGGATACTATGGTGGACCCCAAGGAGAGTGAGGTACAGGAACTGGCTGACCTGAGACTGAAATACCATTAACTGAGTTACCATAACATAATCATACTAGCAGCATCTTTCTGTCTATTTCAGCAGGGATTCTTACTAAGGCCCTGTCATTATAATCAGTTTATTAATAATTACTTTTAAGTTAGCCCATTTGTAACATACAGTTGTATCCTGAAATTTTTATTAAAATTTGTAACTTTTTGTGTTAAGCTGGTGACAAACAAACAAACAGATAACCGGACGTGTAAACATAATAAATGAAACAATTTGTTTTCAGTGGTTTGGTTTCTACAAACCTGGTGAAGGCAATATTGCGTATCCTCTGCAAGAGTCACAACTGTACCAAGAGGTAATGATATAGATCTGAGAGAAAAATGAATAGACCCTTTCTCTCCCAAGAAATCTCTAATTGTTTGAGAACTGGTTATTTTTAAAGGAATGCCTTTAATGGGCTTTTTTTTTTTTACAAAGCATAGGCATTAATGTGACAGTAAGCAGAACTATTTTGTCATATTAAATGTTCAAACAATAATTTCTTCATTACTGTATGCCAGGAAGATTTTATTTGTTCTTATAACTTTGTTGACAAATTTGAAATGACTTTAATTCAGTTCAGTATATTTTTTCACATTAAAGAGAATAATGTAACATTTTAAATAAATGTCCATTTCCTGCACATTTATTTTTGATAGATTGTTGAAAATCCTTTTGTTTCTTCTACACAGGATTGGTTGGGGCTCCAGAAGATGGACAAGGCAGGAAAGCTGGTGTTTCTTAGCTCCAACACTGATCATTTACAGTTTAATCTCTCCTGGTTTGAACAGAATATCATTGACAAATATGTGAAATAGGAATGAAATCCATTTGTTTCTATTTCAATGTTAAATACACATCGAAAGTTGGTTGCCTCAAGTAAAAGCAATGTGAAAAACAAGTGGACACTTGGACTGAAATTTTTATCAGTATCGGAGGTCTATAAAGATTTTAAAACTTATTTGTATGTTTGTGCTGCAATCTTTGCAACCTTTTTTTGTTTCAACTTAAAACATTGCTTCACAACCAGTGAATACCATCTTCAACAAATTATTATTTTTTAAATTTGGTTAATATTTCTAAAATTTGTACATTAAGTTTATTTGAAATTTATTTTGAAATTTATTGGCAGCCAAGGTATAACATACCAAAAGTTACACATTTGCTCGAGTCTTGTAATCTTTATTAATTAATAATCTTTCTAAAGTATATCATTTTGAAAGGATTAAAGATGTTTTCTTGGGGTAAATGTCTTTTGTGATACAAGGAATATGAACATTCATTGTTAGTGTCAATGTTTACAATTTGTAAGTTTTTTACTGTGCAATAGACAATGAAGTCATTTTTAAGACTAAAATTTTGTAAAAAAAAAATTATATACATACCACCTGAAAAATTAACACACTAAGATGATGCAGTTTTAGTTATTCACTTTCATTATTCTACTGATGACATATTGGATAATAAAAACTGATAAATTTGAATTTTTTCTTTATTTTTTGCCTCTATTAATGCCTTCGGTAATTTCTGTTGAGCTACATGTGCTATATACTTACTACACTGTAAACATGTTGAAAAAGACTGGTTTAAAAAGCTATACTAACATCCTTATATAATTATGAAAAACTATTTGTGTGTGTGAGTAAGATAATAAACAAAATAAACGAATCTAATATACATGTTCTGTAATATGAATATTTGTAATGATAGAAACTGAGACCAAAATACAGTCACGTAAAAAAAATCGATTGAGTATTGCACTTTAACTTGAAATATTGGGATATGTCCAAATTGAAATATTGAGATATGTTTAAATCTGTAAAAACTTACCATAAATATTTAACATGATCATAAACATTTATAAACACTGATCAACATACATGTACTTCACCAACATTTATTAGAAGTGCCAAGAACAAGTTCAATTATTTTACGTTCTGCCGGCTCTAATAAACTAGCATATGAAAACTGGCACTATGAAAAGTCCTGTAATTGTAAAACCTCCATTCCATACTGAGGAACTAACATGGAACACCTGCTTAAACTGCTGCACTTTTCAACTGAGCTACATGAACATTATACAATATTATTTATTTCTCTATAATGCACCATGGCCTGACTCTTATGAACACAACTGAGGCCTTTTGGAGATTGGCAGTATTGTCAGTGCCTAGGACTTCCATACTTCTCATCACTGGACACCCCCCTTCCTAGTGCTGGATAACATACACAGCTACCACCAGCAGTAGTGTCATAACACATGAAGAGACCTGTGTGTGAGTGGCTGTGGTATAGGTACATGGGATCTCTATGTCCCTCAGTGCTGGACACACCCCCTGGTCTGCCAGGGTGGTCTCTGCCGCGTCCTGGTGAGCACAGGTGCCATTGATGATCCTGTAGGCTCCAGAGTTGACCACACTGGAAGAGATAAAAATATAATGTTTGATAATAGAGATAAGCTTACCTATCCTGCTTTTTTTAAAAGTTGAAACTTTTATGAAAATGTACTATCTATAAATATAGTTAGTTTCTCTTAGGCCATAAAGTTATTGTGATATCATTAGGACTGAATCATTTTTTACCTATGTTATAGGTACTACTCTGTTAAAACAGGATTAATCATGCATCACATTGCCACATACTTTAAAATCATTTCATAAAGACTCTCCTCTAAAGAAACAACTAAGTGAATTCTGTGGTTACTGTACACTTTTTCCTTGAATACCAGAGAAGATAACAGCAAACTAATAGAAACAAGCATGACTGTACAAACCTCCTTGCTATTTTGCAGTTGAAATTAAAAAAGATGGTTTCAGTGTATTCCTTGAAGTCTTCAATTACCAGCAGAAACAGATTGGTCTTAGGCAGTTCTGTCACATAGTAGAAGCCAGACATACACGGACCTGACACATTGCCTGTTATCATGTGACTTGGACCTAAAAATCAATAATATTTCATTTCCATTTAACCACATAAGAGTTTCTCAACTCTTTCTCTCTCTTGCATGCACACACACACACACACGCACATACACACACACACACACTTCCTACTAGAATTTTTAAATATTTCAAAATCAATATTCTTATAAAATCAGTCTGGTGAGTTGTGCATGTGAAAAGAAAACAAATTATCAAGGAAGAAGTAGAGAGACTTATATCAAGATGTTTATAAATATGTACAGTGCATACAGCAGAAAGCAGTTCAATGTCTCACCTAATGCAGAAGAGTTTGCCTCAAAGCTGACCACATCCTGAATACAGCCATATGTGTTGGAAAACTTTGGGATAGGGCCTTTGTTCTTGTAATAGTTGTCCTGTTCCTCTGGATTGGTGGGAGTGCCTTCTAATGTGACCTGTTTTGAAAATGCATGTAATTATCTCAGAAGTTGTGTAAATTGTTTGTCTTTTGTTCAGTATACTTGCCCTTACCTATTTCTTCTAAAGTAAAGTTTACAATTCTTTTTTTGAGAACTCCCATTTAATACAAAGACATATTAAAAATGTTTGACATAATACAAAGGTGTCATTATTATTATTTTTCTAGCATAAAAGAGAAAGAGAGACCTTACCTTGGGAGCATAAGGCGATATACTGCAGGAACCCTGGAAGTCTAGAGATTCTTTCCGCTGGAAAAAACCATGCTTATAAATCAGCTCTCTCATGATTTCTCCTTGTTTCTTCCCCATTGTCACTCCCTTATACTTGCTGGTATCCAGGCTGCTGGCATTCAGGAAGTCAGGGTCAGCTATGAGGTTTGCTCTGTCATCAAACAAGTAACATCTGGAAGATTTCAGCAGATTATAAAAATAAGAATATAATAATATTCAAACAAATAAACACTTTTATTGATAGGTGGAGCTTTATACAAAAACGATCAAAAGAAGTGTTCAGTAAAACAATTCATTTGTCAGCTTTTTCAAAGCTGTAAAATACTTATTATATAATTGGCAACAAACAACAATTTGTTTAAAACAAAAATCCCTTTACATTCACGGAAATTTGACAAAATGTTCAGTGGTTGTTAATACATATATAAAAAGAAGTGAATACAGAAGGGTACCTTCGTACACATTTTGATCATTTTTGAAATGTGAATAGAATATTGTAATTTCTAATATGTCTACTGAACTACCTAGTTTCACAGTCAGGCTCTCCATCAGGACAGTCATACTTCATCCCACACGACTTGATGCCATCGCTGGCCTGCATGATAGCCATGGTGTTCTTGTGGAAGTCATTGTACAGTATGTCCAGGCACGTGATAGCCTCCACACGCTCTGTGGCGCAGCGACGACGCTCTCGGTTATGACCTGGGGCCTTGCTCAGGTAGCACCTTCCTGTAAGAAATAACAGCAATAGTAAAGACTTGGTAATATTGCTTACTCAGTTAAAAATAACACTAAATATAGTAAAGACTATAGGTTATTTTTTCTGCAGGCTAAAGAGGCACATCCACTTAGGAAGAAAATCCATACATAATTTATTCTTCCACTGAAATAGGCAACACATTCAGGAATTTTACAACAGCATTTGAAGGATGCCTTATTTGCACTTCACAGTAATACTGAATGATACAAAATTGACACTTCACACACATTACTACAAACCAAGACAAAATGATATTCTAGGAAGAATGCCACTATCCTGCATCACCTATTCCCGCTGATGCTGATATCCCAGCACTCTTAATGCATGTCTCAACACTCATATAAAACAAACAATGCAAGGTGCTCCATACATACATGATTCACAATGGCTTCCCTCCACTCACCTACAATACAATCAGAATCGGAGTCACACACACAGCCGCCTGGCCAGGGCCCAGTTTTGGAATAATTCTGGCAGTTCTCTGTGGTTCTTGGTGTCATGCCTTCAAACACTGCCTGCGATATAGTTACAATCTTCCCCACTCCTGCGGCATCCATGTACGGGGTGGAGATGGACGTCTTGTCAGGGGTGGACTTGGCACGGAAGAACCAAGGACGCCTACAGAGTTTGAAATTAGTATCAAGATGTTATATCTTAATTTGTTGTGAAGTGTGCATCATTACATCATTTACAAAATTTTGAGCTTTATAACATTGTTTTAATTTACAAATTGCAAACATACATATCTCAATTTTCATCACATTAATTTCTATTTGAAAACAAACAAGTTACCAAACAAGTAATCTCAAATTACAAAATTTTCATCAGCATTTTCTTAAAATATACACTAGCAATTACAGCATAGAATACAGTTTCTACAAAAGTTTCATGAAAACTCACTGTGAGGGGTCATATGTCCTAGTTGACCTGTGACCTGGGTATGTCCTGAATACCCCTGTCCTCATTCCTACATATGTCCACTTCACTTCATTGAGAGAATCAAATGACCTGTTCCTCCAGTGCGCCTCTATAGGCTGTGTGATCAGGACATCAGCTCTGGGGATAATAAATATTATTTAATAGTATTCTATATAGGCTGTGTGATCAGGACATCAGCTCTGGGGATAATAAATATTATTTAATAGTATTCTCTATAGGCTGTGTGATCAGGACATCAGCTCTGGAGATAACAAATATCACTCAATCAAATTTCTAACAATTTATGATATTTCTTCCAAATTTAAAATTAAGATACATGAGAACAAGTAGATGGCTGAAAGGGCACTGGTCTACTCAACACTTTCTTTTTAATGAGAACTTTATGGTAACTATTTTTCACCTAAACGTCATATCCATCTTAAACATCTGCCAAGCTGTCATAATCCATATTGACATATACTGGTTCATAATCATTTGACCTCAATATATATGTGTCAATATATTTCCATCAAGACTCACCTTAGACCCTTCTCATATTTTCCATTTTCCATATTTTCACATCCTGGCATCTCCTCATCCACGCTGTTCATCCACAGATGAGCATCCACTGTCTTCTGTGCCAAGTCATCATTATAAAAGTACTTGTTTGGATCACAATAACACTTTGGTGCCAGGAATATACTGGAGTGGAGATAAGTGACTCGTAAGCCTGGATATTTAGGTTCGTTATATTTGACTTCGAGGTACTCAAATGCACCTGGAACTTCTCTCCGAGCCACGGTACTGTTGTATTCAATGAGAAGGTTGAAGTAGCTTTTATTCACTGGAGCATGAAAACGGGTCTTGTCTACTGGCTCCTGAGATCTTCTGAATTCCTGGGAAATACATACAACATAAAGTAGTTACATGGTGTTTGAGCAGTCTCTTTTGAGTTAGACTGGATATGTGGGAATTTGTACAATTTTAAATTATGTAAGTTCATGAAAGCCCCCTAAAGAACTTCATGTGGAATCAGAGGCCTGACCACAACAATTTGTTTTTTTTTTTTAAAAAGGATATCATCATTATTAAATGAGTTCTTCAATAACATGACACCAATTTGAATTTTAATAAAACAATCTGAAAAATTCAAGTTATTAAAACATTCAACTATCCAATCTTCTTTCACCACTGTGCCATATTTCCCACCTGATCAGTGTCAGCCAGACTGAAGGCAAAGGAGTATTCTGAATCATTCAGAGCACCATAGTAATATGTTGAAGGCATGATCTCATATTTGATTCCTGCCCTGAAATCGCCCTGTAACATACAAAAATATGACATTCATTTTATCAGTCAGATCTCAGTATAGCCTTTTACTATTACACTTAATTAAAAAATTTAATAGTTTACAATAAATTATTTAAAGACTACTGTCAGTGCTCACTGTTTTTTATTCATTTTATTTATTTGAAATGACCATGATTAATTAAGTTCAGAAAATAATAAAGATATGCGATTTTTCACTTGCTTTGTAACCTTTCATAATTAGTTAAAGCAAACATTTCCGAGTCTCTGAAAATCCTTCCCAATATTTTCTGACCTTGGGTGATCCCCGTCTGCCGTTCTCAATCCTGAGATGTCCCGTTTCCCCCTGGACCATCTCAGAGAGGACCTTGGAGAACTCCGTAGGGTGCCCCTCCTTGTCCTGCTCCAGCTGAGAGATGGGGATAAAGATGGGGTCATCCAGGAGCTGGAAGGGGGCGGTGAAATTAGATCATTTTTATGACAATAATGAGAGATGTTACCTGTTGTTTTATAAAAGACATGAACTATGATTTCTACACAGGCTTAGAAATAATGTGAGCAATTATATCACAAGATGGCACATCATTTTAGCACCTGTCTTACTATTTTGTTTTGTTTAATGTTACATTATATTGTGTCATTCCATTAAATCAAAATGGAATTATCAACAAATCTAAAATTACATTGGTGCTTGGTTTGAGGAAGGGATGAAATATTGTTTCTCCCTCTTTGTTGATCAAGAATGAGTACACAGAGCCCCACTGATATCTCTTCAGCACATTCTCAAGGTCTTCTATAGTAGCATCCACTCCCACCACCCCTATGGTACTGAAACAATCGAGAAAACTTTTATATACAATATCTGAGTATAAATCAAGCATTGTTTAATACTATTTTTAAACGGAAAGAATGTGGCAAGTTCATTATTTAAAATGTGCTTTTATTGCATTTAAAAACAACAAACATCTTATATTCATTTTGTGGGAGAAATTGAGATTGTTTAATGAGAACTTATACTTCAACTTATGTGAACAATGCAATAATAAAACTGACAGAATTCGATACACTTTTACAAATACACAGACATGATTTTGGGCTGTAAGAAAAATAAAGGCTTCAGTGGCCTTATGACCTGGGTATCTGAGGTGATAATGCTTGAGACAAAAACTGCCAAGAAAAATTGGATCTTTGATACATGTCAAAAAAAAAAAAATCAAGTCTGAACACAATCACATGAGAAAATAAGGACAACTTTGCAACAACACGATTATAAAACTGACAAAATTTGGGTAGACCATCACAAACACATGCTTGGAAGGAGCTTAAGACATTTTTCTATATAATTTCTGCACACTTACTTCCCAGTGATGTTGCTGACTACTGGTATAACATAGGATACCAGTAGCCCCAGTCCCCAAGCATCCAAATATGGGGATGTCCACAGACCCTTGGTATTCATTGCGTTAGAGGAGAGGAAGTTGAAATAATTGCTCATCTTTGAGATAAGATTTTCTCCACTGTCTATCCTCTTCATACTTCCCCTGTGTTCACAGGCAAGTTTCCCTGGGAAGATTTCACCATCTTCTTTGGTCAGGTAGCTAAATATTCTGGCCTGATTGAGTGATGGATGTAAAATCTTACAATAAGGTTGACAGTGAAAATTACCACATTGTGAGTTTGTAAAAAGATGTCAAAGATGTAAAATGCTATAAATGAAAAATTTGTAAATAATAACTATGTTTAAATTAAGATTTAAATTTTAAAATGTCAATTTTGAAAAAGTTATAAACACTTGATTGCACTGAACAAAGACAAAGAAAAAGAAATACAGTGCATACTGTACCTTAGGTGTCATCTGCTGGTTTTCATTCTTGACAGTGTCCCACACCTTAGTCCAGTTATATTTACATATAGGCCCTGGCACATAGCCACTTCTGGTATAGTAACCTGTAGACAAAGAACCAGGGATCTTTATTATGTTATTATGAAAACAAATAGTGATCAACCAGGGCAGTACCACCATCCATCTACTGCCCCCTTCATCTTTTTCAAAAAATTTACAGCAAAAATACTGAGGGAGAAGAAAAATTCTACCCCTGTACTTCCTCACTATAATCCCATCCTTGTGCCCCTTCCCCAAACCCAACAAATAAGATCCTTTACCCCCACTGTAAAACAAAGCAAAGTTGCTAGTACACTTTCTAATACAATTATATACATAAATGAGCATACATCAGGATTATTTTCCAGCATATGTCATGCCCAATAGTACTCTGGCCCATCCAATGCTATCACAGTATCTGTCAGAGCTCCCCACTCACCTGGTCCACACCTGACATTTTCACCATCTGTATCCTTGCCGTCAGTCACAAACACCAGGATGGACTGGCAACCTGTTCTGGCCTTCCCATTCAACAGGTCAAAGGCCATTTCAAAGCCTTTCCTAGCGACAAAAAAGGTTATATATACCAAGTGTAGTCTACGTTTAATTTCAAAATAATTCTATTCTCCTGCATTCTATCATATAAAATGGAACAATTCTTTTGTCTTCTAATAAAAAAAAAACAACTAGATTTCTTTAAAAGTTTTCTGTGTTGATGGAATTTATTCATCAAATATTTCTTTGAAATTTCATTTTTTCTTCCCAATGCACCTACAGTAAGAAAAAAATTACATAGACTGTCAGTCTGTCATTTTTGATCTCTGCACTGTATCAATTGTGATATATGAATCATTTTTAACCACCTACTCCAGTTCACTGGTGCCCCCAGCCTCAAGTGCATATATCTTCTCAATGAGATCCTTCCTGTGAGCATTGGTGGCTGGCACCATTCTGTTGGCCTGACAACTGAGCACCTGAGTACGGAAGTGGTGCCACCTAGTGACAGAATTGATAACCACTAAATAAAATTGTATAAAATACAACAAAAAATACGACAAAAAATAGAGAGGTTAGACCTATGTTCACAGTAAAAAATGTAGTGTCTATTATATCATTGTTAATTTTGACTAGAATAAATATTCTTCATCAAATTAAAGAAACTCATTTCAACGATATATAAAATCAGGAGTCCAAAAATTTTTACCAAAACTTGCTTTGGTACATTTCACAATACAAACATTAATGGAGCATTAACATTATCTGTGTAAAACTAAATTTCCCACCTCATCCCAGTGACTAGCTCAAGCACACACACACACACACACATACACACAAACACACACACACACACACACACACACACACACACACACACACACACACACACACACACACACACACACACACACACACACACACACACACACACACACACACTANAGCACACACACACTGTGTAGTACTTACTTTCCCACCTCATCCCAGTGACTAGCTCTAGCACAGACCACATTGACATAGTCCTGCCGGGTCAGAGTATTGATCACCGCCTTGGCTATGGACTTGGTGATACGAAACTTCTCTCCATCCATTGACTTACTATGGAAGAGATTTATTCATGAAAGAACTGAATGAACATTTCCCCCCTTTTTAGGAGGGTTCAAAGGTAAAAAAAAATGACATTACTCCTACAATTAAAAAACCATCATAAGCAATTATAAACAGGAATGGTCCAAGAATAAAAAATAAAACAAACAGAAATGAATGTTAAATTGTATGACTTCAGTATGCAATTCGTTTCTTATCATGAGCAGTGAAACTATTTTAACAAATCTGAGACTGCCACATCCAATGATAAATCCAAAAAATAGAAGCAATGACATCCTGAAGCTCTCTACAGGGGGCCCAGGGGGCACACATAATAGAACCAAAACTATTCCAAAATCCAGAGAAATTCTTTAACCTTTTATCTCTACACACCACAGCTCACCTGCAGTCAAGAATAATAACAACATCCTTAGGCCCACTGGTAGCAGCTATGTACCAGGGTCGGACTCTGGGGTCATAGTCATTGTAAAACCCAGCAAAGTTGGTGCCCCACTCCCTGCCTGGATACAGCCTTACCAGACCAGCATAGGAACCAAAATACTGCCACCTTCAATATTACACAGATAACTGTAGGACTACATTTAATATATATAATACATTTACAGAATTTTTAGTAGTTCTGAAACCCTGTAAATATAAAGATATTTTTGCTCTCAATAAATTATCATTATCACCAAACAGTTAACAAATTACAGATAAAGTTATCAAGAAAATTACAGAAACCAAGACAGACTCACCTAAGAAAGCGATCCTTCTTTGCATTTTCTTTGAATAATTCTTCCAACCCGTTGGTGAAATTGACAGTATTTATCACCAAGTAGTCATCTCTTGGGACCTCATCGGAGATCTTGACTGTGGAATGGTTAAAACTTACTGGTTGTTTGAAATATCTGGTATTAAACAGAGAAAAAGTTTAACATATCATCAGCAAAGCAATATATAAAGTAACAGGAAAAATTGATTTGGTAGAGATATAAAAAACAAGGTAGATAAATCCAACAATGAGATGCAGCGGTGGTAAAAAAATACACATCCATATAAGGTAATTCTAATCAGTATTGAAAAGACCAGTTTATTCTCTGCCTCAGCATAAATTTGCTAAATGACAGAACCCAATTGGATTTAACTAGCTGGCTAAACAAGCTGCTGGTTCAGGATTAGTATTACTTCCTGCAGCTTAATTTTTACCGTTTAATATAAATATTAATGTATACTAATATACATATACTTACGCACTAAACTCCAGATCTTGTGGAAGTCTAGATGGAATGTCACTGTCCCTGAATACATCTGTACCCAGCTGTGTCAGTTTATCTGCAACTGAACGATTCCTTAGTAGCCAGGAATCATGCAAATCTCTTACTTTGTCAGCTAGGTCCTACAGATGAAATTTACACATTAATTTAAAAATAACTAAAAAGGGAAAAAAGAAAAAATGATAAATAAGAAAAAATGTATTTACTTCATGAAACTTTATAATTATCATGTTAAAATCATTTACAACCAAAACAAACCTGGTGCGTATAATATTTCATTCAGAAACTGACAGAGAAATTCCTCCATCTAAATCACTAATGATAAAATTATCTGACTACTTGACCAAGCTTCATTTAGACAATGCAGCATGGAGAATACATGTATGTTGATTTTGAATCAGTTCAGCAGGACAAAATGTGCATGCAAATGATTATTGATTTATCACTGATTGCTTCAATCACAGCAAGCTAGTGCACAATAAATAAGCCTAATGGTGCCAGCATATGGCTTTTTAAATAAGCACTACCAACCACCTTGATTTGTTCTGATGAAAATTGCACTGGGTTTAACAGAAAGCAGAATCACAAACTTTCCTTAATTTATTATCACTAATTTACAGTTGCAATATAAAAGCAGCTGCTTAAGCCTTTATTTCATGACAATTGTCAAATGTCTGTTATTTATTATATCATACAGGATGCTCAATTTTATTTTATGCATTGTTAGTAAAAGTGTTAATAACGAGGTCCTCCACCGGGATTTGTAATAGTACTACAGAAGCAAATCGGAAAGAACCATTTTCCAATATCTTACACCAAACTAAAACTGAATAACCCATCTGTTGATCTTACTGCAAAATTAATTTCATCCTAGTTTGAGTTTGTTGTTCTTTTTTCTGAAAGCAAAAATTTCAATTTCTTTTCAAAGCAAATGTTCAGTTGCATATTCAGTCCTTGTTCCAGATACTGAAATTAAAATAGGTCTTAAAAATCAAGCATTAAAATTCTACTTAATTTATACAAATTCTACTACAGCCTTTAAAATAAAACATTATAATCAATACAAGACTGTAAACAAAATATGGTGCGCATAAAAATATCAAATGTTTACATCATCAATGCATCCTCACTTACCTGTGCTGCTTGTTTCTTTACACTGAAATAATCTCCCAACCTCTCACTGACTTGCCTCACCACTTCATTGCCATCTTTCTTTTCCAAGACATAAGTTGCTGTATCAAATAAAGACTGTGTGACATCTCTCTTTATACCATCACTGGCAAGCTGAAATTATAACAAGTACATTTACAATATCTGATACTACAATAGGAGATGTCCAAAACTGACATGTTCCAACCAAATATGGACCTAATAATCCAGTGTCTCCCTACCTGAAGAATATAATTCTGTATGAGTGTGGCCCAGTTCTGTACATCTCCAGAGATGCCAAATTTGGGGTGGACAGCCTGATGGATACCTTCCACACTGTGTGAGGCCACTGCCAGCAGTATGATCACAGCATTTGGTGACATTGCACTGACCTGAAGTTGAAGTATTGTAAAATCACAATAAAGCCATTAATGAAATAAATCTTAAAGGTAGCATTATCAATTTATTATTATTTTTATTATTATTATAACTATTGTTGCAGAAATATGTATGCAAAACTCTTCTTTTGAGAAATAGCACCATAAAAATACCTACAGTTACCGACATTTCTATCAACTGCTTAAACTGAGCAACTCAAGTGTAACAATATAACAATGCAATATACTGATAAGTACAAGTCCCAATGGCATCGTCTGTGCTCTACATCGGAATCTGTAAGAAATTAGCATTTACAATGACGCTTTCAATTACCGGTAAGCTAAATTCCTACCACAAAGCCAGTATTGAAAACGGCACTGTTTTTAAAAAATTACTTCATCTTCTACGCTTTTGCATATTTGCATTTTTATGCAAAACCTAAAATTCTTGACACACTCCAAGAATTATCGACTTTTCCGCGGTCACCTTTCTCTCGTAACCTCATTTCTTCCCGGCTGGTTCTGTTTATGTTTTTAGCCTTACGTCTTTGGGTGTCGAAGCCTTTGATTGGCCAAAAGGGCATGGCAAATGAAAAAGGCAAGCCAATTGGCTACAAGCTGACCTAGATGCGTTTCAGGAAGTTGCGCACAAGACAAAGTTAACATGTGTTGATGGCACAACACATTGCAATATTTTGACATAGATTAGGTTCTCAGTCTTTTTTTGCCGGTAGTCCTAAATTTGACGTTGGCGAGTGCGGATTAAAATATGGAAGAGGGACAATTTGATGACGCTGAAGAAGACATCGGGTACGGACATGACATTAATAAAAGTTTATTTACATTTTAAAATTACTGGTACATGTGTCTTGGTAAGGTAATAAATTATATATCTTGTAGTACGAATAAACATACTTTAGCAAATTCATCTATACTTTAAGCCAGCATTATAGTTATTATGAAGAGCAAATAAATGTGCTAGACTCTTTTTTTCTTACTAATTTTGCTTGGAACATCACCATAAACGTTTTCATACTGCATTCATGTTATTAATTTATTCTGTAATATATTGATTATAATTAAAACTAAATATTAAATCATTGCATAAAGAGGAAATTATTTACACATTCCTACATAGTAACAAGAAAAGAGGAAGTACTAGTAGGTTGCAGCAGTTGGATGTTGAATAGTGAAATTGAGTTTTTAGATTGTGGAACATTTTAGTTTTACTTTGTTTTATTTTCAATTTGTCAACAGGTATGAGAATCAAGATCAGCATTTGAGCAAACAAGGTATGTATTTTCATAATTTGTTTGGGTTTCTTTTGCTGTTAGAATAAATATGCATTTAGTTTTATGATAAAGGTACCAAAAGTGCTTTTGCAAATTTGATTAACATGGCCTTCGGAAAAGGCCCCTTTTCCCCATGCTATAAAATTTTAAGTTTTTGACAACATTATAGGTATGAGGTAATGTCATACATCATAAATGATTAAACTATCCTGTCATATAAAATGAATAAATTTTAAAAGTTTTACTGAAAATAAATAATTTGATCAGTTTTTATATGTACGTTATTTAATATTTTCACAGTTGAGGACTTAAATGTGGAAGGTGGATTTGAGGAAGATAGTGATGGTTATGACAGTGATGATAATGATCTGGATGCATATGATTGGGCAACAGAAACAAGAGGTAGGATGGCATTATGTCAGCTACACCTGATGTGTGAATTTTACCCCAATGTTCCACTTTTAGTACTGCTGTAGATATGATATCCATGGTTGAGGTGACAGTATGTAATCTGGCTTTCTTCTTTCAGACTTTACCAAAAGATTGAATGCAGTTGTCAGCAGTGCCCAACAGGTAGGTTTTTTGTGAAAGAATGAACATTAGATTGAAGTCTTCAAAATGATATGGATCACAACTATACTGAAGTCTGATATCACTATTATTATTATCATTTATGTTTATAACATTGCACTGAAATCATTTTTGACTATTTTTAAGTTATCTGACAAAAACATTTCAGCAAAAAAGGATGTATTGAAATGTGAAAGTTGTGTGGATAGTATATCTGATGGCCCTTACTCGGCATAGTACTAGAATTCATGGTGTCTTTTGCAGTACAATGCCAATCCACAGAAAAAGAACACAAAGGGAACAAGTTCCTTTCAACCACAAGAGAAAGCCCTGAAGAGATTTGAGGATAAAATCAATGTTGGTAAGAATGGTTGCTGGAAATGGTTGAATTTACATCCATTTGTGTAATGGCTTCATATTCTGCATATTCAAAGAGTGTTTATGAATTTAAGATTCCAATTACAAAGAAAAGATACTGTTACCATTTGTTGGACTTTTATATATATTTGTTTTTTGCCTACAGTTTACTATATTCAGTGTATGAAAGAAGTATGTGTAGTTTTTTTTTTCTCATTGTGAAATGTGACACATTTTATTTATTTATTTTCATAATTAGATAAATATGATGGACCCAGGATTTCAACAATGGCATCAAATGTTTTAAAGAAGACCTCCAAGAAAATGGAGGCGGACAGGTATGTTTACTTTTCATGATGAGTGCTGAGTCTGCTGACCAAGATGAAGACAATGATTACAATTTATGATTTCAAATTTGAATTATAAAAGTTCAAAATAATCCATCTTCTGAGCATTGATTTTTGTATGATTGCCATGCAGTTATGCACCAATAGAGAAACTTGTGACACAACTTAATTGGTTGTTTTATGCAAGGGTGTTGATTGCAGCTCTTATTTCATACCCATGTGAATGTGCTAACAACTCTTAATAAAACAAAATGCTTTGGAGACAAAAATGTGACTTTTATATATTATATACCTTTTGCATTATATCATTATGTTCCTACATTACATGATATTTTACATATCTCAATATAGACATCAAAGTGATAAAGACAAGTCAGATCGTGCCACCGTGGAACAGGTGATGGACCCCAGGACCAGGATGATACTATTTAAGATGCTGAGTAAAGGAGTGATTTCAGAGGTCAATGGCTGTATCAGCACAGGGAAAGAGGCCAATGTCTACCATGCTTCTACCAGTCAAGGACAGCAGAGAGCTGTCAAGGTTGGTGATGGTTTTGATCTCCATCTCACTTGACTGCAGTGGGAAAATAGTGACATGGATTAAGTTAAACTTGACCTTGTTAGGCATGTGTAGATTAAAGTTTTTTTTGTCCTTTGTGCTGCATGAGGTGCGACTTTAAATTTTGTCAGCTTTGTCTGGCAGTTGAAGAAGGACAAATTGTTTGAAGTTTTATCGATCTCTGACAGATGTTTTTATGTGAATTGATTTTTTTTCCCAGTATGATATATGGTACATATTCTTATTTATTTTCTCTAGATATACAAGACATCCATATTGGTTTTCAAAGATAGAGATAAATATGTCACTGGAGAGTTCAGGTAATTTTTTGAAATATCATGATCTATAAATTATAAATGCAAGTTATTGTAAGTGCGATGCAAATGATCCATGTTTGATAGAATTGGGATCTAGATGTTAGTCAAGATACATGCACTTGCTAGTCATTATTAAACAAATACTACTTTTTTTCCCCTAGGTTTAGACATGGCTACTGCAAACACAACCCAAGAAAAATGGTAAAAACATGGGCAGAAAAAGAGATGAGAAATTTGACAAGGTGTGCTTGAAATTTAATATGAATTTACTTGGAGAAGTCTAGAAATTAATATTTTTCTTCATCTTACATGCTTCTGGTTTGTACATTTTCACCAGATTTCTTCAGATTTGTGAATGTGATCTGTATACAGATGGGTCTTTCTCTATTTTTAACATATAGTCCATTTTCTATACAGAATCCACCAGTCAGGTTTGCCGTGTCCTGAGCCTTTCTTACTGAGAAGTCATGTTCTGGTCATGAGTTTTATTGGTGATAATGGATGGTAGGTGAATGATAGTATGATTAGCTTCTTTTAGTAGAAATAAAGCTTCAGTTGTTATTCTTTCCTCTCAGGCTGTTCTCAAAGTTTAATTAGGCATTTGCAGTAACTGTTATGAAATTTTTATTTATTGAATTTGTCTTTTGATTTACATTTGGAAGGAGTCAAGTTGGAAACTCTTATTTGAAAAATGTTGTGTTTTTGGATATTAATATAAGCTTTATAATAATTTGATTATAATCTTATAGATTTTGTTATATTGTATATTTTATATATTTAAAATTCCAGGCCTGCTCCCAGGTTAAAAGATGCAGACATCTCTGAAAGCAAGGCTCGTGAGTTGTATCTACAGAGTATACAACTGATCAGAACACTGTACCAGGAGTGCAGGCTGGTCCATGCTGACCTCAGTGAATTTAATATGTTGTATCATAAAGGTCAAGTGTATGTGATAGATGTGTCTCAGTCTGTGGAACATGATCACCCTCATGCCTTGGAGTTCCTCAGGAAAGATTGCAACAATGTTACAGGTTCGTTACCCCTCTAAAATACAGCATTTTTTTAAATATTACATTTTGTTCAAATTATTCATAGGACTAACTATAATAATATTATTACCTTTTGCTTGAGGTTGCTTATAAAGATTTTTTTTGGAAAAGTAATTTTGGAAGTAGATTGTACAGTTGCTTTGTAATTCTTTTGGTGGAGGAAGTGTTATATGATTGATGAAAGTACTTGATATAGAGCAAGAGTGTTGAACAGCTCTTTAGTTTTGTATATGACTACATTGTTATTTTTTAGAATTCTTCAGGAGGAAAGGAGTCTGCACCATGACATTAAAAGAATTGTTTGACTTTGTCACCGACATTACAATATGCAAAGAAAATATTGACCAGTACCTGGAACGTGCAATGGAGGTATCTGCTAACAGAACAGTAGAGGATGTGACAGAACAGGAGAAAGTTGAAGAAGAGGTAATGTCATTTTTCCAAAAATTTATGCCTCATTTATTATCTAGATAGACCTGGCTTTATTTTAAAGGAAAAAATGCACTTATAGTAAGCCTTTTAAGTATTCAAATTATTTTGTAATATTTCTTTTTTTTCACTTTATTGTTATTATTATTATTTTTTTTACTTCTTGGTATAAGTTGTTTTTTTTTATGACTAGTATTAAAGAGATTTATCAGTTAAAGTATGAATATATATATTTATGTCATTCACAATACAATTTTGATATTGATCCGCGCCAACAACTTTCAGTGGCATAGCAGTTGTAAATGAAACTGATTTACAATTGAGTAAAATTGATTTTCTGATTGCTTTGAAGTTTTATTGCTCTGAGATTTTATTGTCAGCATCGTTTATCTCTAGGTATTCAAGAGAGCCTTTATTCCAAGGACATTAGATGATGTGATCGATTTTGAGGGAGATATTCACAAGGCAAAAGAAGGAGATGTAAGCCAGGTGAGGTTTTAGCAATATAAGTGGTATTTTAAAAGATATATAGTAAAATTCAGATAATTAGTTTTCAATTCAGGCTCAATTGCATGGGTAAGTCTAGCAAAAAAAACACACACACACACACACACACACACACACACACACACACACACACACACACACACACACACACACACACACACACACACACAGCACTTTCTACATTCATTTTTCTTTCTACCTCAAAAAAATGTTGCAAGAAAACAATCTTTTGCTGCACTTGTTTGTTTTTTTTTTACTTTCTGTTATTACATACATATGACCACTGATATTTTCTTCATAATTCTGCCGTTAATGTGCTTTAACTCCTGGGACAGACAACACAGTTCTTTGAGGAGTTTGAATATGAATGATGCCTCAGCCCTAAATAACAAATGGATTGATGCCCTCATCTGGAAATTGAAGTCAGTTTGCCAATGTCTCATAATAGTCTGCTGGTAGCATTGAAGACCTTTTAAAGTCATCTGTCTGGTACATTACTCAGAGTATTTACACTGATCCATTCAGTTTAGTTGTAGTTTGAGAGAGACTGTCTCAGGAGAGGAGTGATCAAAATGAGTTTATACATTTACTGAAGCAATTATATAAGGTGGTGCATTCCATTTTTCTTTACCACTTATATGTTGACTGTATTTTACCATTTGCGTTTTAACCATATGCACACACTCACATGCACGCACTCATATGCACACATACACACACATTTACACACACACACTGCAAATTACCAATACAAGACTGATCTGAATATCATACTAGTATGGTGCAAGGTCAACTTGCTGTAGACCAGTGCCCTCCAGTGTGTAAGGTCAACATAATACCCTATGCTGTAGACCAGTGAGCTCCAGTGTGTAAGGTCAACATAATACCCTATGCTGTAGACCAGTGAGCTCCAGTGTGTAAGGTCAACATAATACCCTATGCTGTAGACCTACAGTGCCCTCCAGTGTGTAAGGTCAACATAACACCCTATGCTGTAGACCAGTGAACGCTGTAGACCAGTGAGCTCATACTGTGTGGCATGAACTTGACATTTGCTGATACACGTTGTCTGGAGGTTTTGTTGCCAGTATTGATTGGCATTGTTTGCTCAGACAAGTAGCTAACTCTCAAAAGAATGGATGATAAGTGCAGATCCATCATTTTGGAGTGTTAAAAAAATGTGTAGGTTGGAGTGAAACAGACCTGGTATATCGTGGGATGAATATGGCTTCATTAGGATTTCCACTTACCTCATATGTTCCTTTATCGGTTATTAACTATATTATTTCATTTGAGATATAAAAGCAATTCCTCACAATTTTTTTTTTTTTTTTATGACACAAAAATATGTCATGGCATGGTTTGATTATTTCATCACTACAGTTCTGCAGCTTTGTATAACTTACTGATAATCTTATCTTTGGTATTTCAGATTTTATACCAGACAGTGACTGGACTGAAGCCAGATTTGTCAGGTGCTCAACAGGTAAGAAATAATGCATGCTGCACTTACGACATTAATTAATTAGAACAAAAAGCCTGAAGGCAGAGTAGCCATGGCCTGAGTTGCAGCAGTTCTGAGTGAATAGAATCAACAACCTGATGATTGTATTTATGTTTCTTCAAGGTTGTGGCATAAGCATAAAAAAAACTGATTTTTGTCTGATCACAATATAATTGTGATTTGTTGCCATGTTTACAGTTGGTATTAATATTGCCAGAGAAGAGTTCACAGAGAAATGATTTAGAGATTAGGTTGCAACTTAGCTAATATTGACTCCATGGGCAAACAATTTACACTGTTGATTTTTTTACCATTTGTTTAAACACATACACCCTTTTTGCACTATTTGTATTTATCTTCTGTCTTTTTGTATAAGACCTCGGGCATTATTAATCCAGAGAGTGCACCAATAGCTGGATAAAAAGTTAAGAGTCCATGTGCATCTATTTCATAAAAATATGAAATAATTAAATAATTTTAAAAAATCAATTGGATAATATCTGCCAGTTGTTATTGGCCATGAGACAAAGTGGTGTCTCTCTAAATATAAAGCTCTCTGAGTTCAGACCAATTCAGCAAACAGTAACCAAATAGCTCACCATTTGTCATTGAATAGACTGTAGTTTTTTTGTAAAGAATACAAATTGTGTCAGTTATTCATAGAGGGATTGAACTGCAGCGTATTCATATTTTAATGAAGACTGAAGAGTGACCAGGCACATATGTCATAAAAATAGCATGTCCAAGTCTAGACACATATTACTCTACTGACGCCTGCCTAAGGCTACTTTTGTCCATAATAAGTACCATCATTGGCTAGGCAGGCGGGGCTCTCACATATGATCTCATCTCTAACAGGTTCTCTTTTTTCACTCCAAGTGCTGGGGACATTGCTTATCATAGAATTATCAGGACTGTAGCCATCAGGTTCAAATGAAGTTTTTTTTTCTGAAAAAAAGTTTGTACCTGTCCTTTTCACCCCCTTGCTTAACATGTTGAAAAACGGCATAGAATATAGATCAGATTTTGATTTATACCAAACCCTTTTCAGGCAAAAGGGTGGTTCTTTTGGACCCCCTAAACTCCCCTGCCTATTGGACGCATTATAAACTCTATGCAGTCTTTGGAAACTACAGTATACAAGTATGACGTGTTTTAGTAGTAGCATTAAGAGTTCCTGCTTGGTGAATGTGTTGATTTAGCTGTTTTGTTTTGTTTTTTAAGTTAATAAATGTTCTAAAGAATAATAACCCTCTCAAATGTTGTGAAATGTCTGTTTCATTAAGAGTTTCTCTCTGTGAATTATTTACGTAGCCATTTAAAGCAGTGTTTCTGGGCCAAGTAATTTCTGCCAAGCTGATGTATTAGATGTATTCAGAGTGGAAAAGAAGTGGGTTACACAATCATTTTAAGGCAAAAAAAACTTTTCATTATTTGTTTTGCATATCAGATATCTTGGCATTATGATAAAAGTAATGGTATTGGAGTCAAGATGATCAATTTTTTGTATTATTCCTTTCACTAAAACTCACCCTGCGAAAATTAATTTGTAACCTCAAAAACTTCAGTACTATGTGCTTGGAAGAAAAATGCGATTGCTACCAGCATAACTCATAATAGTGATCAAAGAAAAAAAAAAAAAAATTAGTGAATGAATATGAAATGTAACACAGCATGGCTTGCTTGAAAAGATGTGTTCCATCACACAAACCTATTGTGATTATGTTAGGTAATACATTTTCTTTTTTTTTTTTCTTTCTTTTTTTTTTACAATGTACGTCGCTGTAAAGAGGGCGACTCTGTGACTGCCAGTACATCAGAAGATACAGTGTCAGTGTATAACGCACTGGAATCACCAGTACATTTCATGTACATGTATTGTTAATGAACATCATTACCCCAGCCAGAAGAGAAACACTAATAGCTTTTAATAGCAGTCTATAAAGTCACTAGCCGGTGTAATTATTACAGTCCATGGTGATTTCCCATTATAGAAAAATATAAGGTACCACTCTACTCGTCTATTCATTGGTAGGTCGTATGATTAGAGTGACTAACATTATCATAATTTGGTGCTTGTGATATTGTTTTTGTCATATTTAAGAGAATTAATCATTTCAGCTTAGTCATACTATATATTGATGTTGTACAAAATTTGATAAGCTGTCCATTCTCCTAGTTGTAAATCAAACATAAAAAAAAAATATTAATGATTATTTTATTAATAATTTTTAAAAACTTTTTGGTGATTGATTGGTCCTTTCTCTGCCATTATTTCCATTTATTTAATGTGTATGTACCAAAATATGGACAGCTAGCTAGCACAGTTTAACGTGATGGGTAATACACCATGATAAATTAAGTTTGCAGTTTGATAAGTACCACTGTGCTTGTCAGTAATCTATTATATTTCTAATATATGGGGGCTTGTGTCAGGAAACAATATTGATATACTGCATAATATTGCTTAACCCAGAGCCATTGTTGTACCAAACAAAGGTGGATATATATATATATATATATATATATATATATATATATATATATATATATATATATATATATATATATATATATATATAACATCATAAGCCCTATACAGGGGCGGATCCAAAGATATTTTCTGACAGTCTTCCAAATTATCTTTGTTGATTCATCCTTCATTTTTGACTGTCTTCCGACAGAAAAAGTTAGATACCCATCAATGTAAACTTGAAAATCTGACCGTCTTCCGGAAGACCCAGAAGACGGCCTAAATCCGCCCCTGCTATATCAAAATAGCAAAAAGAATTTAGAATATTTGAACATTATTTTTACCAATCAGTGGTTGATATGGCATTCATACCAGCTTGTCCTCTTTTTAAAAAATGTACAGTTCACCATTCATTATATGGAAAAAAAATCGACATACTTTATTGTTAAGAAAAAACATCATTGCAAAACATCCACATAATAGCTAAGAAAAGGGAGATCTCATACTGTGCTTTATAAATTGTGGCTGCATTCAAAAATCTTCTGTTTCATAGTTGTTATGTTTTTGTATCAGCTTATAAACAGAATTACCATTATGGTTAGGCCTAATATGTGTAGTATCTAAAACAGGATACAGCGATGATCTAACGGATCTGTGTGAGTCCATGGTTCAAGCAGACAGAATGGCACAGAACCGTGACCAGTGGAGAGTTTTCGTGAGGGGGGTCATGGCAGGTTGGCACCAACCCAACTGTTCTTGATGATGATGATGATGATGATGAATATGTGCAGTATTTCTAGTTAATTCCTGTTCCTTACTTCTAGTATTAGGGGCTGTTTGCAATGAGTAAGGTTTCATTTGCCTCCTCTTTACTTGTTTCCAGTGTATTCATATAATCAGCAGCTTCTCACCAGGAGGAGGCATGTAAGTCTGTTAATCTGATTGCAATCAGCAAGAGTCCCTGCAGAGTTAGTGCACACTAGTTATTGCGACTTAACTCACTCTGAACAGGTTCTTTATGTAGCAGGTACTCTAACTGCTGGAGGTGTACATCCCACCTTGGCTTACACTGCTCTATAAATTTAAGTTAGGTAATGAAGGAATGTATACCAGGTTTGTCCAGTAGTGTATATTACATGTGGGTATATTTTTGGCAGTGAGTTATTGCTGTGGTCAAGGCTAAATTAAGGAGGTACAAGTTAGGTGTACAGCCTGTGCTATGGTGAACTGGGAGGGAGGGAGGGAGGAGGGAGGTGTGAAGGAATGCCATGCCTCAAGCTATAAATGAGTTAAGGTAAATTTACCAAAGTATATTAATAATTCTCTGTCAAAAATTTTATGACTTCTTGAACACCCCGCATACATGATGAATACTTAATGTTCAGAAAGCTTGATTACAACTGATCAAAATTCCTGTGATTGTTTAAGGGCAAATGTCAGTACAGAAGATCTGATCCTTAAAATGTGTATCAACATTTTTCTTCTTAAAAATGAATGAAATATATTTGGTATCTTGCAATGATGTATAATTTTGTATTTTAAAAAATGTTTTACAATTACAGTTGCCAATTTTGCTTGAGAAGTCTCAGCAAAGAAGAACCACAGAGTCCTTAAATTCTGCAGGAGAGGAAAGCTCTGATGAAAAAGCAGATGATGAAGAAGAGGAAGAGGAAGATAGTGATGATGAAAGTCGGCCACAAAAGCTCAATACCTTTAGGCCTCGGGATGAGTCACCCTCCAGTCGTAAGGTGAGTTCTGACTAGAAATTTTACTGGTATGCCTAATTTATTTCTCTGTATTGATTATTTAACCTGGGACAAGGTGAGTTTCCTTCTGGTTGAAGGGATAATAACTCTTTGTATGAGATCTATTTTTCATAATAAAAACACTGAAAACAACTCATAGAAATATAAAATTTTTATGTTTTACCACAAAAAACAGCAGAGATGGCTATGCTCTGTTATAGTCTCTTAAGAGATTATTATAAAACAAAAACAAACCTTTTAGAAAAAAAAAACTGACTAACTTTGAATGTAGAAATGGATTCGTTAACCATTGGTAAGTATGGGGAAATTGCTGTTTACTCCAGGAAAATTCATTTCTGAGCCAAAATGAACAGTTATTATCCCTTTAAACAAAATTTTCCACTTAGGCTTCATTCACATGCAATGTCTATTTTCTAAATTCTATTTTCTATTCGCGGTATGTCTTATGATTTTACTATAAGTAACTGGCTCGCGCTGCCAGTAATTACGCGGCGGGATATTCAGTGTACAGACTGTGATCATAAGATAGCGCAAATAGAAAATAGATTTTTAGAAAATAGACATTCCATGTGAACGAAGCCTTATTGTTACAGCTGCACTTAGTATTCACTGTTGCATTCTAAGAGATAAAAATTTAACACATGTATACCAGGAAGTATTTTAAGTTAATTATTTTACCAGAAGGAACGTGTGCCTGCAGTCAAAAATCTAAATAAGTTTCTTTTCTGACTAAAAATAGTCACTTTCTGCTGAGTTATGTACGCAGTGTTATAACCAGTTCAGGAATGTTGTCTTTTATGAAACTATTTATAATATAATGCATTGAAATGTGATACATTTACATGGAAATATGCCATTTCTTGTTGTAAATTGAGCAAATTTAGCTGTGTGATGGCTTTTATTAGTTACCTGTATCATATGTAACATATCAATAGAAGGGCAAGGAGATTTACATGTAATGATACCTAAGGTATTAGGTTAGGATTGTTTATAATATTATCTAACCTGTCGGGTTCACTGTGGGTGGGTAAGAATTGATGAGTCTTCATTTAGCTTGGTAATGGAAAACTTTGATGGAAAATGTGTCATGCCAAAATACCAATAGATATATACCAGTGTACCGAAACAGGTACAGCTGGTAATTGATAAGAATGATAACCAGCAAGTTCTGATCGAGTTTGTTTAGCAAAGTTATTTTTTCAAAAAGTATTTGAATAATGAGAATTATTTTAGAAATAGCGGAAATGGGATTATTAAAAATGGAGGTGGCATGAGAATAATTGAAACGTTACACTCATCAAATACACCATCGTGCAAATTACTGGCTCTATGCTGAAATGCTTGTGGTCATTTTTATACCCTTTGAATCANCTCATACTGTGTGGCATGAACTTGACATTTGCTGATACACGTTGTCTGGAGGTTTTGTTGCCAGTATTGATTGGCATTGTTTGCTCAGACAAGTAGCTAACTCTCAAAAGAATGGATGATAAGTGCAGATCCATCATTTTGGAGTATTCAAAAAATGCGTAGGTTGGAGTGAAACAGACCTGGTATATCATGGGATGAATATGGCTTCATTAGGATTTCCACTTACCTCATATGTTCCTTTATCGGTTATTAACTATATTATTTCATTTGAGATATAAAAGCAATTCCTCACAATTTTTTTTTTTTTTTTATGACACAAAAATATGTCATGGCATGGTTTGATTATTTCATCACTACAGTTCTGCAGCTTTGTATAACTTACTGATAATCTTATCTTTGGTATTTCAGATTTTATACCAGACAGTGACTGGACTGAAGCCAGATTTGTCAGGTGCTCAACAGGTAAGAAATAATGCATGCTGCACTTATGACATTAATTAATTAGAACAAAAAGCCTCCTGAAGGCAGAGTAGCCATGGCCTGAGTTGCAGCACAGTTCTGAGTGATTAGAATCAACAACCTGATGATTGTATTTATGTTTCTTCAAGGTTGTGGCATAAACATAAAAAACTGATTTTTGACTGATCACAGTATAATTGTGATTTGTTGCCATGTTTACAGATAGTATTAATATTGCCAGAGAAGAGTTCACAGAGAAATGATTTAGAGATTAGGTTGCAACTTAGCTAATATTGACTCCATGGGCAAACAATTTATACTGTTGATTTTTTTACCATTTGTTTAAACACATACACCCTTTTTGCACCATGTATTTATCTTCTGTCTTTTTTTATATGACTTTGGGCATTATTAATTCAGAGAGTGCACCAAAAGCTGGATAAAAAGTTAAAAGCCCATGTGCATCTTAGTCTGTTTGTAAATAATTAAAAATATGAAATAATAAAATAATTTTAAAAAATCAATTTGATAATATCTGCCAGTTGTTATTGGCCATGAGACAAAGTGGTGTCTCTCTTAAAGTAAAGCTCTCTGAGTTCAGACCAATTCAGCAAACAGTAACCAAATAGCTCACCATTTGTCATTGAATAGACTGTAGTTTTTTTTTGTAAAGAATACAAATACTGTCAGTTATGCATAGAGGGATTGAACTGCAGCGTATTCATATTTTAATGAAGACTGAAGAGTGACCAGGCACATATGTCATAAAAATAGCATGTCCAAGTCTAGACACATATTACTCTACTGATGACTGCCTAAGGGTACTTTTGTCCATAATAAGTACCATCATTGGCTAGGCAGGCGGGGCTCTCACATATTATCTCATCTCTAACAGGTTCTCATTTTTCACTCCAAGTGCTGGGGACATTGCTTGTCGTAGAATTATCAGGACTGTAGCCATCAGGTTCAAATGAAGGGTTTTTTTTCTGAAAAAAGATTGTACCTGTCCTTTTCACCCCCTTGCTGAACATGTTGAAAAATGGCATAGAATCTAGATCAGATTTTGATTCATTCTTAACCTTTTCCAGCCAAAAGGGTGGTCCTTTTGGACCCCTAAACTCCCCTACCTATTGCCCTCATTATAAACTATGCAGTTTTTGGAAACTACAGTATACAAGTATGACGTGTTTTAGTAGTAGCATTAAGAGTTCCTGCTTGGTGAATGTGTTGATTTAGCTGTTTTGTTTTGTTTTTTAAGTTAATAAATGTTCTAAAGAATAATAACCCTCTCAAATGTTGTGAAATGTCTGTTTCATTAAGAGGTTCTCTCTGTGAATTATTTACGTAGCCATATAAAAGCAGTGTTTCTGGGCCAAGTAATTGCTGCCCAGCTGATGTATTAGATGTACATGTATTCAGAACGAGAAAGAAGTGGGTTACACAATTATTTTAGGGCAAAAAAAAAAAAAACTTTTCATTATTTGTTTTGCATATCAGATATCTTGGCATTATGATAAAGGTAGTGGTATTAGAGTCAGGATGATCAGTTTTATGTATTATTCCTTTCACTAAAACTTACCCTGCGAAAATTAATTTGCAACCTCAAAAACTTCAGTACTATGTGCTTGGAAGAAAAATGTGATTGCTACCAGCATGATTCACAATAGTGATCAAAGCAAAAAAAAAAAAAATTGGTGAATGAATATGAAATGTAACACAACCTGGCTTGCTTGAAAAGATGTGTTCCATCACACAAACCTATTGTGATTATGTTAGGTAATACATTTTCTTTTTTTTTTTCTTTCTTTTTTTTTAAATGTACGTCGCTGTAAAGAGGGCGACTCTGTGACTGCCAGTACATCAGAAGATACAGTGTCAGTGTATAATGCACTGGAATCACCAGTACATTTCATGTACATGTATTGTTAATGAACATCATTACCCCAGCCAGAAGAGAAACACTAATAGCTTTTAATAGCAGTCTATAAAGTCACTAGCCGGTGTAATTATTACAGTCCATGGTGATTTCCCATTATAGAAAAATATAAGGTACCACTCTACTCGTCTATTCATTGGTAGGTCGTATGATTAGAGTTACTAACATTATCATAATTTGGTGCTTGTGATATTGTTTTTGTCATATTTAAGAGAATTAATCATTTCAGCTTAGTCATACTATATATTGATGTTGTACAAAATTTGATAAGCTGTCCATTCTCCTAGTTGTAAATCAAACATTAAAAAAAATTATTAATGATTATTTTATTAATAATTTTTAAAAACTTTTTGGTGATTGATTGGTCCTTTCTCTGCCATTATTTCCATTTATTTAATGTGTATGTACCAAAATATGGACAGCTAGCAAGCACAGTTTAACGTGATGGGTAATACACCATGATAAATTAAGTTTGCAGTTTGATAAGTACCACTGTGCTTGTCAGTAATCTATTATATTTCTAATATATGGGGGCTTGTGTCAGGAAACAATATTGATATACTGCATAATATTGCTTAACCCAGAGCCATTGTTGTACCAAACAAAGGTGGATATATATATATATATATATATATATATATATATATATATATATATATATATATATATATCATAAGCCCTATATCAAAATAGCAAAAAGAATTTAGAATAGTTGAACATTATTTTTACCAATCAGTGGTTGATATGGCATTCATACCAGCTTGTCCTCTTTTTAAAAAATGTACAGTTCACCATTCATTATATGGAAAAAAATCGACATACTTTATTGTTAAGAAAAAACATCATTGCAAAACATCCACATAATAGCTAAGAAAAGGGAGATCTCATACTGTGCTTTATAAATTGTGACTGCATTCAAAAATCTTCTGTTTCATAGTTGTTATGTTTTTGTATCAGCTTATAAACAGAATTACCATTATGGTTAGGCCTAATATGTGTAGTATCTAAAACAGGATACAGCGATGATCTAACGGATCTGTGTGAGTCCATGGTTCAAGCAGACAGAATGGCACAGAACCGTGACCAGTGGAGAGTTTTTGTGAGGGGGGTCATGGCAGGTTGGCACCAACCCAACCGTTCTTGATGATGATGATGATGATGATGATGAATATGAGCAGTATTTCTAGTTAATTCCTGTTCCTTACTTCTAGTATTAGGGGCTGTTTACAATGTGTAAGGTTTCATTTGCCTCCTCTTTACTTGCCTCCAATGTGCTCATATAATCAGCAGCTTCTCTATTCAATACTAGGAGATACAGGAGGAGGCATGTAAGTCTGTTAATCTGATTGCAATCAGCAAGAGTCCCTGCAGAGTTTGTGCACACCAGTTATTATGACTTAACTCACTCTGAACAGGTTCTTTATGTAGCAGGTACTCTAACTGCTGGAGGTGTACATCCCACCTTGGCTTACACTGCTCTATAAATTTAAGTTAGGTAATGAAGGAATGTATACCAGGTTTGTCCAGTAGTGTATATTACATGTGGGTATATTTTTGGCAGTGAGTTATTGCTGTGGTCAAGGCTAAATTAAGGAGGTACAAGTTAGGTGTACAGCCTGTGCTATGGTGAACTGGGAGGGAGGAGGGAGGTGTGAAGGAATGCCATGCCTCAAGCTATAAATGAGTTAAGGTAAATTTACCAAAGTATATTAATAATTCTCTGTCAAAAATTTTATGACTTCTTGAACACCCCGCATACATGATGAATACTTAATGTTCAGAAAGCTTGATTACAACTGATCAAAATCCCTGTGATTGTTAAGGCAGTTTATTTTAAGGGCAAATGTCAGAACAGAAGATCTGATCCTTAAAATGTGTATTAACATTTTTCTTCTTAAAAATGGATGAAATATATTTGGTATCTTGCAGTGATGTGTAATTTTGTATTTTAAAAAATGTTTACGATTACAGTTGCCAATTTTGCTTGAGAAGTCTCAGCAAAGAAGAACCACAGAGTCCTTAAATTCTGCAGGAGAGGAAAGCTCTGATGAAAAAGCAGATGATGAAGAAGAGGAAGAGGAAGATAGTGATGATGAAAGTCGAACACAAAAGCTCAATACCTTTAGGCCTCGGGCTGAGTCACCCTCCAGTCGTAAGGTGAGTTCTGACTAGAAATTTTACTGGTATGCCTAATTTATTTCTCTGTATTGATTATTTAACCTGGGACAAGGTGAGTTTCCTTCTGGTTGAAGGGATAATAACTCTTTGTATGAGATCTATTTTTCATAATAAAAACACTGTAAACAACTCATATAAATATAAAATTTTTATGTTTTACCACAAAAAACAGCAGAGATGGCTATGCTCTGTTATAGTCTCTTAAGAGATTATTATAAAAAAAAAACAAACCTTTTAGAAAAAAAAACGGACTAACTTTGAATGTAGAAATGGATTCGTTAACCATTGGTAAGTATGGGGAAATTGCTGTTTACTCCAGGAAAATTCATTTCTGAGCCAAAACGAACAGTTATCCCTTTAAACAAAATTTTCCACTTATTGTTACAGCTGCACTTAGTATTCACTGTTGCATTCTAAGAGATAAAAATTTAACACATGTATACCAGGAAGTATTTTAAGTTAATTATTTTACCAGAAGGAATGTGTGCCTGCAGTCAAAAATCTAAATCAGTTTCTTTTCTGACTAAAAATAGTCACTTTCTGCTGAGTTATGTACGCAGTGTTATAACCAGTTCAGGAATGTTGTCTTTTATGAAACTATTTATAATATAATGCATTGAAATGTGATACATTTTTCATGGAAATATGCCATTTCTTGTCGTAAATTGAGCAAATTTAGCTGTGTGTTGGCTTTTATTAGTTACCTGTATCATATGTAACATATCAATAGAAGGGCAAGGAGATTTACATGTAATGATACCTAAGATATTAGGTTAGGATTGTTTATAATATTATCTAACCTGTCGGGTTCACTGTGGGTTGGTAAGAATTGATGAGTCTTCATTTAGCTTGGTAATGGAAAACTTTGATGGAAAATGTGTCATGCCAAAATACCAATAGATATATACCAGTGTACCGAAACAGGTACAGCTGGTAATTGATAAGAATGATAACCAGCAAGTTCTGATCGAGTTTGTTTAGCAAAGTTATTTTTTCAAAAAGTATTTGAATAATGAGAATTATTTTAGAAATAGCGGAAATGGGATTATTAAAAATGGAGGTGGCATGAGAATAATTGAAACGTTACACTCATCAAATACACCATCGTGCAAATTACTGGCTCTATGCTGAAATGCTTGTGGTCATTTTTATACCCTTTGAATCATCATATCTTTGAGTTTTGAAAGTGATTTGAACTTCAAACATTTATTCATATATTATTCATGCATTTATTTCACTTTGCATAAAAGCCAGTGTTCTGAGAAGGGTTTCAAATCCATTATTCAAAAAGAGTGTAACAAAAAACCAGGTTAAAAGTAGGAAGATTTCAGTCTAAAAATCCCATGCTCTCTACTGTACTACAATAAGATTAAGATAAGGGATATAAATTGATGTGTAGGAGTTGGCAAGTTAAACACTTTGCTGTTGATACTGTACAAATAAATATCCAGGGCTGACAGTCTGTAGTGATAGTAAGCATACATAGTTTACACAAAGTGTTTAGAAGAATCCACCAAACTGTTTTAACATAAAGATAATAATGAAAATAATAATAATAATATTTATATTGAGAACCAAATACTATTGTTAACACAAGTGTGGGTTCTCATACTGTGAAGTCCATGTCCAACGTAATTTAAAGATCATATCACTTCAGTATTATATAATGTGGACACAGCAGTACTACAAAGTAAACTAATAAATTACAATATTATTTGTAACTACACAGTTACCATACAGCATAGTAAGAGTAATTACATAATCTTTTTTTTTTCTTTTGCACAATTTTGTATTGCTTAGGATTAATCCATTGCTGAGGATTCATTTTGAAATCCCCATACTTCCTGATTGAATCCAACTTGAATTATGTCAGTTTTCATTTTACAAATGTCAGTTTGCCAAAACATTTTTGTGAAATGCGTAAGTTGTTTTTGAGTGTTTTCACTTTAGTTGGCTGAAGTCAGCCCTGTTGACAAAATTGAATTTTTGCAAGCAGTATATTCATGTGGACTGGGCCGTGCACTATCAGTAATGTACGGTATTTGTAATTGCTTCTGTCTGAGTGTCAGTGTTGTTGTGCTGTGTGACTAAATAGAGGACCCTCATGACAACAATTGAGGCAATTTCGGGGAGGGGGGGTGTAATAATTCACTCAGCCTGAGTAATAATATAGAAACTGGATCAAATTTTGATTCAATGTGGACCTTTTTTGGTCATATTAGGGTGGTTCTTAATTTCACACCGAAAAAGAACCCCTCCCCCCCCAAGCCAGCCTCCCAACCTAACCTTGGACATTATACCTAATATTCTCATTTGAACTTCATCTGGTGTGAGGGACAGCAATATTTTTTAGCCAACTCACTAGCTTCAGTCTAAATGTATAGTACCTGCATGATCTTCAGTTTATTCCCACCTTAATTTACCTCTTCTTTTTCATTGGGTTGTAGTAAAGGGGGGGGGGCTCTTTCTGTTTAATACAAATAAAACTATATGTCATTGTTGATAATGTAAAGGATGGTAGAATTAAGGGACATATTTGTGAATGGTCAATTAATTGTGGATAGTCTATTAATTGTGATATCAAAGAACATAGTGCAGGTATGAAGGGAGAGAGGGGGGAGGAGGATCTCTCTTCCTGATCTCTCTTCCTGTTCAAAATAAACAGAACCGTGTCATTCACAGTAGATAAAGGTATAGTTGACTTATTTGTGGGATGGTTTGTTGTGATAACAAAGTACACAGTTCAAGGATGGTTGTGGATTACTTGATCATGATGCAGGTTATTAGTTGTGGATATAGGTGATAATTCGGCTTTTATATTATTGATATAACTCATGTTGTAAGATAGGATATAATATTTATCTGACAGTCCCATGCTTTAGATAACAAAGTACTTGTGATTGGATCATGACTCTGTCAAATAGTGAATTGCAGGGTTTTTTTCTTTTTTTTAATGGTTTTATGACTTTGACTGTACAACTATCTGAACTTAATCGTTTACTTTACCATTTTCAGGCTAGAAAGCAAGCAGTAAAAGAAGAAAAGAGAGAAAAACGTCAAAACAAAATTCCAAAGCATGTGAAGAAAAGGAAAGAGAAACTTGCCCAAGCCAGGCATGGGAAGAAATGAAATGGCTTCATGCATTTCATTTCAGATTAATTTAATGCGAATTGGATAATCCGCTGATGTTTCCACACCATATATTAAAATGGAAGACAATTGATTGAAAATGTCATTATATGGAAGACTTTTGAAAACCTGTTATTCCTATTGTTCTTCTTGGCCTTTGAACTGTTTTCAGCAATTAATTATTATTAGTAATGGCTTATAATGGCTTATCTTGCCCCACCTTCAATATTGATATAGCTAAGTGGGTGCATGTGGTGCTCATAGATATCCAAACTCCCTCACACATACAGTAATACCATTCTGATGACATTCCAGTGGACTCCCTCTGGACGCATTATTTCAATTAAAGCAAAAATGTGTATCTCCTTTGGATTATGATTTTGAATAACACAGGCCTTTTGCAGTTGACAATACATGGCCACCAGGGGGCTACACTGGTTGGCAGTACTACTAGTATGTTCACAGACTTCTGTAACGATGAATACTGGGATAATCATTAATTGCGACTCCACCCAAGTATCACAGTCTACTAGAACAATCGCTATTATCAATGCACATAACCAGTTTGAAGGCAGAACAACAATGGATGCCGTATGAATCAGTTCCCTTATAGCCAGGATGTGATGGGTCAATAAACAGAATATTGAATTACAAGGAGGGGGTGGAGTTGGCATACTTACAGTCCTTTATTACAATAAAGTTTGCCAAATATTATGATCAGTTTTGTTAACAGTCCAAAATATAATAATAATAAAACATTGGAAAGCTGATTTTATATAGGGTTGCATTTCGATCCAAAGTTTTCCATCCATTTGTGCCACCGAAACGAGTGACACAAGATTTTTTTTTTTTCAAAAAAAGTATTATACTGATATGCATCATTGTAAATGTCAATTTTCTCCTAAATTATGCCATAAAAGAGTCACTGTAGCATTGCTTTAAAGTGAGTTAGAGTTTAAGAGCAATATAAAACTATTTTGAATGACACCTACACACAAATTATTAAGTTTCTTTCACGTTTTATTATAAGAAGTGCTTAAGAATGTTATTATTCTTTTATGATATTGAAGTTGAGTAAACAGGATCTTTAACAAATAAGTAAGCCATTGACAAAAGATACATACTGATTACCTCAACTCTTATGTTTGTTGACATACTCAAGTCTTCATAAAGTTGGGGCTTAAAGCCAATAGAGGAGGGCTATTGAAATAATGGTCCCAAATCTTGAGATTAGGGCAGCTAGGGCCGTAGCCAGGAGGTGGGGGTTTTCAGGGCTTCTAAACCCCCCCCCCCTCTTGCTGGAAAAAACGTTCCCTCTGGGTAAAACTTTATCTAGGTACACGATGGTTTCATGGTAAAGGGTCTCCTTTTTCTGATAAAGGAACCCCCCCCTTTTGAAATTTCTGGCTACAGGTCTGATAGCTCTCCAGGTCTTACTTAATGTGTCCTATAGGTGGCTCCACGCCCTAAATACAACCAGAGATGGGTAGAAAAGGAGTGGGCAACATTTTTACACCCACCANCAGGAGGTGGGGGTTTTCAGGGCTTTTAAACCCCCCCCCCCCCCCCCCTCTTGCTGGAAAAAACGTTCCCTCTGGGTAAAACTTTATCTAGGTACACGATGGTTTCATGGTAAAGGGTCCCCTTTTTCTGATAAAGAAACCCCCCCCCCTTTTGAAATTTCTGGCTACAGGTCTGATAGCTCTCCAGGTCTTACTTAATGCGTCCTATAGGTGGCTTCACGCCCTAAATACAACCAGAGATGGGTAGAAAAGGAGTGGGCAACATTTTTACACCCACCAGAAGAGATGATCAAAGAGAAAGGATGAGTAACAATGGTTCCGTTTACCTCACGGCTCCAAATTACAGGGTCTATGAGCAGTGGGGTGGAAAGATGGGCTGACGTCTCTCTCTACATCATTATGTGCTCATCTGACACCAGTTGATTGCAGATTATTGTACGCTGCTGTCACTTTTAGATAATTTCCAACATTCCCTTCAATCTTGTGTCACTGAATGAAAAATCTAATCAAAGTAAGATGGAAATCAGATAATATCCTGTTGGAGGAAGTTCAACTCTGGGATGATGAACTATTTGAGATATGAATGGCATCTGACCACGTGAAGTGCAGAGATTGTATCTGTTTGTAAATTTACATGTCCAAGCTGAACAAAACCCCACTCAGTCTTTTTGAGATATCAGCCACAGACTTATTTTCATAGAGAGTGAGAAAGTCGTCATGCCAACAAGTTCATGCTAATTGTAGAGAAAATATTATGAGATGGCTCTCACTTACTGGATAGATATCGAGTGGTGGTGGTGGGGGGGGGAGGGGCATGAAAAAGTCTGTTTTGGGTATCTGATAGAATATTTCCGAAGAACACCATGATCATATCCCATATCCACCCAGTTACTGACCTAGTTTACTTCTAAATAGCATTTGGGGGGGGGGGGGGGGGGGAGATTAAGGTGCCATACCATATGCCACACTTCTTGACCAATCTGATCTGACAAATGTACTTCGTGCAGGCCCAATTTCAACCAGCAATTACAAAGGGGGGGGGTCTTTTTCTGAAAAAGTGGACTTTTCACCAATCCTCACATGCCTAAATCACATTTTACCCACAGCAGACCTTCTGGCAAGAAGGGCAGTTTGTTTGAACCCTTTAACTCCCCTGGCTATGAGCCTGCGGTGGCATGATTAAATGAACTTTTACCCCTTTCCCATTTAATTTTTACACAATCCAAAGAAACATTGCTTTCCAATCTCTGCACAAATTAATGTTGGGTTTGCATGTGACCTCGTTTTCAAATTCAAGACATTATCAGTAGGTTCTAGCATATTTTTATACATAAATCAAAATGTAAGACAAAGTTTATTCAGATCATGAAATATTCAGTTTTTATAGAGCATACACAGTGAATGACTTGTTATGAACTGTTTAACATAATATATTTTAATATTTTATTCCTTTTTTTTGTCCTCCCTCTTACTAGGGGTTTGTGCTTAAAATCAATCTAGGAAATAATTTTACAAATGTAGTCAGACTAAGTATTTTAATAAGAAAATACAGGCAACAAACAACTTGAACATTGAAAGGCTTTGTGATTTCACGTACAAAAATAATGATAATACATTTATATGTGATCTGCTCCAAACGATCAAAGTATAAAATGGGCAATTTCTAGTAAGTCGACTTTTAAATGGCAAGGTTACAATAAGACACTCTGGAGATGTACATAAGTCAAACTTCCATCACTTTGCAGCTGGAAGACAGAACAATGAAGTTTGCACAAATTTACAGCCCTGCACCTTGAGTCCTACATCAGGCATTTACTATATATGGCATGCATACTTTCAATCTTAAAATCTTTCCTTAATTGAAGCACCTTGACAGTGTGTTTTGATCGGGAAGCAATTAGGGAAATGCTACATAACCCTGCGAATCCACAATTGACAAATATTACTAACACAGTAAATAGCGTAATAAAATCCGTTTTGTAACATCAACAGACACCAATCAAGTAACCTGGACATTTTCATCTCAAAAAGCATTCAAACTGAACTGTGACCCAGTATGTTTTCAATGATGGAATATAAAATTGAAGAATACTTTGTATTTAATAAATCTCTAAAATTTAAGTTCATATGCCATAAAACATTTTCAAGTTACCCTGAGCAATGTTTTGCTAATAAAACTATACAAGTCCATTCCAGATTGTCAATAAATTTGGAATATATGTGTCACTAGCGAAGTATGGGCATTGACTGTAGTCAACAGAGTTTAACAGAGTTTAATACGGAGGCTGTTTGACTACAGCTTTAATCCACTTCACGTGCAAAGTCTGAATATGATGAAGTATCCAGGGGTGAAGACGATCACATGCTGGCTGCTCACGAGTTGTTCTGTGGCTCCTAAACTACCGGAACATTTCCTCAAAGAAAATTCCAAGCGGTACAGAAAGCGAAAGCTCCTCATGTAGAATACATGGCAGAGCGGCAAACGAACTGCATCAGCAAAATTCCTTGGTCCCTCGTTATTTTGATTCCCATGCAACAACAAGTTTCTTGAAAATATATTGGGTCACCTCGGATCAAGTTCCAACTCCTTCACTTTCTCCAATCTTGTCCATTGTTTTCCATCCAATAGCATCTAATTGCGTATATCCAAATATGAATAAGCTAGCATATTTCAACCGAAATCGAACTTTTTACAGTCCAACAGTTTCACCGGCTTGATAATCCGCGGGGAGGACCTTTTGAACACGGAAAATCAGAGTGTTAATTTTGCCCAGGCCACCGTTTTTGGAGCTGTCCATTTTATTCTCTTGCCATGCTCTGTCCGCCGGGCGCTGCTCCTTGCACTTCCTGGGCGACCTGGACTTGTGAACAAAGATAGCAACACCAGGACATCAATATATCATTGACGAAGCTCCCTTCTATACCCTTTTGCTCTCTCACTTTCTGTCGAATCTGTGCAGCGAAGAAGATATTTGCGAAGGGAATGAGCTGTGAAAGGCCGCACAGAAGACAATCATCTCCCACCGCTTCGGCAGACTTTCCGTGGGTGTAACATGGTACAAAATAAGTGATGATGCAAATGCCGAAGTTGTCGAAGCAACCACAGAGACCATGGGACCATTCACCTGCCATTTTTGTTGGATATTATCTGCAAAATGAAGCTACAAATACTGCAAAGCTTGGAAATATGGTGGTAAGTGTAAACCGCCAACCGGTACGCTGAGCTGGGCGTGTCATGGGACGAGTCCAATATAGCAGGTAAAATAATTGAATTTTATTTGCATTATTTATATTAAAAAGAAAAAGTTTAACTCTTTGAATAAAGGAAAATACCTTGTAATTGATACTCACTATCCTATACAATGCAAATTTATTTAGTTAACCCATAGTACTAACCAAGGTATAATCATATGAAAAGAGCTCCCCTGTTACATTTACTTTGGATTCGTCTGGTACAACATAAATTGGAGATTAAAGGGTGGGCAAGGCGGAAATTCAGCTTGAATGGTTGTATTGTTTATCAATAAAATAAAATTTAATAAAAAGCCAAATATAAATGAAAAAATATCAATCTAGTTTTTTCGTAAGCGTTTGCAAAATAAATATAAATGTATGTTTTTAATTATCACTTGTAAACCTCAAAGCTCTTTTTCTTGGGCAAACTAATGTTTTTGCAAGATAAAAAGCTAGTTATCTAATTTTGTTCCAATAAAAGTTAACCCATTCTTCGTGACTGGTCTGTGTCCTCGTGCGAAATCTCTCAAATTCATTGCGCGTTCCACCACATGTACTAGGTCACGCTAACCGATGACGTCACATTTCGGTGCAGGCAGTGACCTTGCCAAGATGTCTGCCCCCACGGGTTAAGGGGAAATATACTGTTTTAAATTTTCTTCGCTTCAGGATCAGTATTTTTAATGTTTAAGATGGCTTTGGGGTAAAAATCTTTTTTCTTAAAATCCCCAAGATGTTAGGAAGAGTTTGGAACTTCATCAAACGACACAAGAAGAAATTCATCTTCACTAGTGTTGTTATCGGAGGTATAACATTTATTCAATTTTTTTTAAATATAAGCATTAGGTATTCATAATGAAGTCATGGGCTTCATAGTTTAATAAACATTGATTGTAAAACAAACCCCGTCGAAAATTTGAACTTGTGTATCTTTTAGAAAATGTACAATTCTCACAATCTTGAGACGGTACATGATGTTGCCAAACACAAAGGTGTCAGCCCTGGTAAGCAAAGAGACAAAAGTTAAATAGTGGTGAAATGCAGATTCCACAAATTAGAACAGGGTGTGCATAAAATCTTAGGATGCAATCTTGAGTTTACTTCAAACCATTCCTGTCACTTGAAGTTTGTTGCACATTCAAACACAATGTATCATAAATTCACCTTGTTAGTTTTATTTCATGAAATTTTTAATAACTTTAATTGGTAGTTAAAGGCACTCTGCACACATTTGAAAAGTCTTCAAAGTCATATTTTTATCCTTGAAAGCTTCTTATCTTTCCTAATTCAGACCTTAAAGACAATAAAACCCATTAACTTGAATTAAAGTTCATTTGAACCTATTTAGTGTGGTTATTATCTTCTCAGCCTTGTCAGGTAGCCATGACAGCTCAAAACATCTGTATTATACACAACACAAGGCCAAATTATGAAGTGAAAACAAGGCAATGCCTGCAAAGCCCTTCCAAATTTAAAACACCACTTCATTTGCATAGTGAAGTAATTTCTTGCAATTTGCAGCAACGGTTACCAAGAAGCCTAAAATTTTGTTGAAATGATTAAAGTTTGGGAAAGGTATCTTTCTTAATGACTGGCCAGTTATTTAGAACTAAATTATTAAATTAAGAATTGAATAAGACCTCAAATCCTAGTGCAGGGATGACTCAAGAGTTGAAGAAAATTGCTTTTTTCTCCAAAAAAATCATTTAAATCTGGCACAGAGTGGCTTTAAGTTGTGGCAGGATAGGTCAGGAGTACAGATCTGATATTGATACTTTTATATAGACTATTGTAACAGTATTTGTTTCACACTTTCTTTATTCCAGGTGGGGTTTTTATTTGGAAGTATGCCCAGTCTAAACTGGAAGAACTTCAGGAGAAAGAGGCTGCTGAATGCTTGTCATATGCCAGGTGAAAAATTAGATCTCTCAGTTATATATTGTCTTATTTTATTTATTGTCTTTGAGATAGTTATGATAATATAGGTAAAGCTGTATCATTGATATTGTGGGATAGTTAAGTACAAGTTGACTATTTTTTTAAATCTTAATTTATTATAGTTTAGGTATCGTACATTATGGCTACAGTGGTACAAGTCATGGAAAATCTCCCATGCAAATATTTGTAAATTACTTTGTCCAGGTACATTTTCATCAAAATAAAATGTTTTTCCTTTCATAGAAAACAGCATCATTTTGATAGCAACCAAAGAACATGCAATATGACAGGTAAATTTTAGTTTACTCTGGGTCATATTTCTTTTTCTTTGATCAAAGAAATCTTTAAGATATTTTGGTTCAAGTCTCTTTGTATCTTTCACTGGCACATTTTTAATAAAGATTGAATTACAAGCCTTGAGAGGGTCTGCAAGAGGATGTAAGGTTACTCTTCTATCCTTTCCACTTTTGTATTAGGGCTTATTCACAAACACTTGATCCCTGATTTTATTTTGCAGTTCTCAGGGAAAAATGATTTTTGGGTTTGATATATTTAAGTATATTTATTGCTTGAATAATATGTATGTTGATCATAAAATGTTTTTTGACTAAACACTTATCTTTTATAATTGATCATTGGATGAAATTAATTCTCTAAATCACCTCTTCTTATACGGGTCAATATTTAGAATAAATTTGATTATTTTAAGGAATGATTCAATTTCAGTTTTGTCCATGCTGCCAAAGCTGAGAGAAACACTGATGCAAGCTTTAGATTCAGAAGCACTGACAGCCCAGCTGAAATCAAAGTATTACTTTAAGTGCATTCTTCACATTTTAGAAGTCATATATATATATGTTAATCCAGTGTTTGATAGTTGTAGTTTAAAAGTTGTTTTTTAAAGAAATGTAGTAATTATTTGTATTGAAGAAAATAATTATTAGTATCACTGTCTTTATCATTGGTTTAAAAGAAAGAAAGAAAGAAACAATATTTTTCATGTTTTAGACCCTCTAACAAGGTCCAGATATGGGAGGAGTTAAAAATACTAAGTATGTGTTTTAACATTTTTCTGATTTTAATATAACAATAGTATTGGGTCATTCATAATAGAAGATCTAAGTATCAATTGGTCCAAGGCTCAAATATGGCAGACCCTACATGGAAAGAAGGCTGCTTATTCCTGTAATGGTCTCTCCACCTCTCACACGCCTTCCCATGAGTCATCCCTGCAGGGGCACAGTAATTAAATCTCGGTTTCATTCTACCAGACGTGTGGGGAGGCGTGTGAGAGGCGGAGAGACCATTACAGGATTAAGCAGTCTTCCTTTGATGTTGGGTCCCCCAATATTAGAGTCTTGGACCAGTTGATACTCAAATCTTCTATTTTGAATGGCCCCTATAAGTATTTTCTACTGAATAGATAAGATTACCAACAGTACTTGCAGTTATGATAATTTTATATTTTAACCCTTTTTCAATAGTGCGTGAACTTCTAAACCTTCAATTAAAAAAAAAAAGATAAAAATTAATCATGTTCCAGGCTTCACCAGAACTATGATGTCTGTGTACATGAGTGCCATGATGATTGTGTTTCTACGTGTCCAGCTCAACATCATCGGGGGATACATGTACCTGGATAATATTCACGACAGAAATGGCACTGTGAGGTTTCATTGTTTAAACCAATATTAAAGGGATAACAACTCTTCATTTTGTCGGGAAAAGTGTTAAAAACGGGTTTCTTTGGTAAACAACAATGTTCTCATACTTACTAATGGCCAAAGAATCTGTTCTGACATTCAAAGTTAGTCAAAAGTTTTTTTGAAGTGTGCTTTTCGGAATAATCTCTGAATTTATTATTTTGGAGGGTAGCCATCATGAAGGTCCATGTGGTCTGGTGGAATTTATTTATATGAGTTGTTTACAGTGTGTGTATATATATATATATATATATATATATATATATATATATATATATATATATATATATATAGTGGAATTTTGAATCTTATATGATGAGTTGTTATCCCTTTAATAATTTTGATATATGTGTCAGAAATAACACACACAGTTGGTTAATTCTCATTGTGGTGTTTTAACCAGTTCTGTAGTTTATATCTTATTAATATTAAGATAACTGTAATCAGTTAAGATGCAGACTCATCCTTACAGTTATACCAGACCTGTAGACAGCAGTTTCAAAGAAGACTACTTTTCTGAAAGAGTGGGCTTCTTTCCCCCTTTTGTTGACCCAACTTGAGAAATGATCTAGGTCAAACTTTGATGAGGAGTGTACCTTTTCTGGCCAAAAAGGCAATTATCTGTCCCCCAACCCCCTCTTTATAAAATGATTTGATCCTTGTATATTTAATTAAATTTTATTTTACAGAACAAGCAACTTGCTGTTGCCACTCAAAGTGTTCAACACAAATATTTGGAGAAAGTCCATTTTCTAACAGGTCCAGGTATGTAACTAGGTGGTATTTTTGTTAACAATTATAGTATTACTCATGTTGTAAAATTAAGTGAAATAAGTAAGAAAAATTATTTTGTCAGCCTTTGATGCTAGTTGATCTTCTTATTTTGGTTATCTATGTAAATGTGTATAGTTTTTTATTTCCTTTTTGCACATTTATTAGACTTCACTTGATTATTCTCTCCAGGATTTTAGAACCAAGTGCTGTCAATCCTAAATGAATTTTCATTTTAGGTTTGATGAGTTTGACAGCAGTTGTGAAGAAAGCAGTACAAAGCTGCATCGGCAGGTGATTGTTATACATAAGATTTAAATGCCATTTGTATAGGATTGAAAAAAAGATAAAAGTACCATGGTGCAATTTTGATTTTATTTAAAGTTAAGTTATTTTGTGATATTTGACAGCATTTTATTAACAGAAGTCGTGATACTTTACTAAATAAACAATCGCAATAGTGTTTATAAAGATACTTTACTTATATTTTTGTTAAAATAACTGGCAGTGTTGTTTTCTTTGTTTCTAGCATTCCTTTCAAGCAGACACTGACATTGGTGAATATAGAGGAGATATTCAGACAAGTTCGTCAAGCTGTGGAGCAGGGGTCACAGAATGGCTTCCAGGGTTGTTCAGTGCTGTGTCAGTTTATTTTACCACAAGACTGTGATATTGGAGAAGTAACAAAATTTTCCTTCTGTCATTTTTTTCCTATTTAAATGAGAAATACTTAAAATGCATTTGACTATGGCTGTGAAGTATATATTTTTAAAAAACCTTGATTTTTTTTTAATTTCAGTGATTAGTATTGTTTTATATTTTGATTTTCAGGCATGTAGCTTGAATGGCGAAGAGATTATTCTGGCCAAATTGATGAAAGAGACGCAGGATATTGTAGATGGGTTTGTGCTATATGAATATTACAAATTTAAGTGACCAGACATTCCAGAGAAGATGTCAGAAGATCAAATTGTATTCAGCAAATTTGCATTTGATATCTTGGGATACTTTTTGTTATCAGTAACTTAAACGAACCTTCATTTGTTGTCTGCTCAAAACCTCAAAAAACTACATCATACTGGTGTATTTATAAATCACAGTTTCTCTATTTTTGATTCCAGTAAAGACTTCCAATTGGTCCTTGACAAGTGTTTGGAAACAGGGTTTTCTAGGCTTGTTGACAGGATAGCAGAGTTTTTTCAACAGGACCCAAAATCTGGAGAGTCAGTCGTAAAGTGAGTCTGTCTGGATTATGAAATTTTGCGTTTTTTTAAAACACTTAATAAATATAAAATCAAGAGCATTAGTTAGTATCATACAAATTATTGAAATACAAATAGGGAAGTAGATGTGAAAACATCTATCAAGATCATGTCAGCACAGAAATCACACATTCTGAGCGCCACGCTATGTGCTTCAAATACACCTGTGTCTTCTCATTTCACATGATTGTTTGATTTACAATTAGAAGTAAATATTGATTATAAAGTTTAAACAAATCTCTGCAAAGCCTGGTTACAGCACTTCAGAGATTTGTGTTTACTTGCTCTGGAATGATAATTAGACATTTTGTTTGCAGTCCAAACTTGGTTGGGATGCCTCTGGCCAAAATAGTGCCAATAATGAATGGGATGATTCACACTGTTTGTGCAGATGTTCCAAACACTTTTGTACAGGTAATTGTTTATTTTTGCCCCAGTGTAGACATTTTCCTCTTTGTCTTCAGTTAATTTATATGTTTTACGGTGTTACATCTTGGGAGATTGTAATCAAAAAGTTTCTTCAACACTAAACATGATGTAAATATTTGCATTTTGGAAACTAGCCATAGTATTTAACTCCAACACATCTTTCCTATTCATTTTCATCATTTAGTTGTACAAGCCGTTTTCCATTCTCAGGAGTTGCTGATGCTGGAGCCAGTGAAGGACTTTGCTGCCAATGTTTATGAGGCATTCACTCAGTCAACAGATGCCAGCACTGATGCTTCTGCTCAGAATGTGGATGTTCAGTAGCTGAACAGACTCATTTATTGAAAGGATCGTGTCCTGGGGCAAAGTAACTTAAGACTGTTGCTCAGTTCAGTTACGTAGTTTGCTGATTCGAGAATTTATTCACTGCACTTTCCATATCATTTTATAATCACAAAATAGGATTAAACATTTGGATCATGACATCATGAATAATTTTATATAATGAGAAGGGGAGTTAAAACCTTCTGTTCTTGTGACCTATTTTTAACAAACCATGATGTAATGATTAATTTGAATAAATAAATCTGACAATCAATTCTGACTATAATTGTTTCCAACCAGATTTAAAGATAATAGTTTGAACTTTTAAAACTTTATATCCTCGCAATTTTGATCATGCACAAATTATGATTTGGTATCAGGATTTTCCTTGTGATTAAAATTCTTGCACTTTTCCTTTCAAGTTTTTAAATGTGCATTCTTCAAGTGCGACACACAAAGAAAAGGATAAAACCACAATACCCAAAAATACAAGTTTATTGAAAGCTAACTACAAATTACTAACAACTGAATTTGTGGAAATCGGCACATACAGCCTTCACTTTAAGCAAACTTACTTGCCCAGGCTTACCAGTATCAACAAAGTTATAACAGTACAGAAGGAGTGGAACAGCTTCACCCTTCTCTTAACAAGACTGACATTGTGAAGATATGTCTTTGCCAATGGTTATCAGAAAGAAAAGCTTACAAGCTCAAGCTAAATTCTAGATACACTTGTGAATGATATCCGTTCATCAATATTATCCCTGAAAATGGCAGGTAAATGAAAAAAGTTTGTAAAATGCAGTGGAAGTACAAAATCAAAAATCTTGACATTTAACTGTTAAAGAAATCCTTTTCACACAAGTATTTGGTACTTAAATGTCATATGAAAAATTTTTTATTTTTGTTTCATTTAATTGGAAAGGGGCTCAGTGATGTTACAAAACAAGATTAAGAACTGTGTTCTTTACATGCCTTTTTTGCTATAAAGAAGTCTGACAAATGTGTAATAAAGACAACGGAATCCCCTCTCTTGAAACTGCTGCCAAACATATACATAATTGACTTCATTCCTATTCTAAAGCACCACAGAGAACAGTCTCCACTGTGATGAGCTGCTGCGTATTCCTTGTTTTCCCAAAGTTTATCACGAACACTTTGGGAAATAGATAAAACAGTCAAAGAACCAAAAGGGTTTCATGAAAATAACACATTAATATTTGCTTTTATTCTTCCGTGCTGCCTGCTACACCAGACAAAGCATCTTCAACTGAAATAAGAAATATTTTAACTGTTAAATGCATCCAGTGAATAGTATCAATTCACACAAAATATTGCACTTCAAATTCTAAAATAAATTCTTCAGTTTTAGTTGGTATGCAACGGAATGCATTTCACAACAGCTTTCGTGTATCAAGAACGCTCATTTAGAATTGTGTGCCATGGACTTTTATATTATACTAATTTCAGAAAAGGATTGTTTAATTCTTTTATATTCTACTCACATTCATCCTCCAAATCCTCTGGTTTTTGGCACTCATTTTTCATAGGTGTGCTTGTACAACCACCTGCAAGTTGCGTAACACCTGAAATAAAAGAAGCATCGTTATGTAAATCACTGGCTTAAATCAACCCACTGCCAGTTCCTCGAGGATGACATTTTTGTAGGCCACTTTCTCGCTTTACTTAATAGACTTGAAAAAATATTATTATAAATAATCATCTTCTCTAACTTATCTGACCATTTCACTTTCTATTGTTTCTTATAACAGAGTTTTAACAGTAATCTTTTTACCTAGGGTATCCATCCCATCCACAGGATCACGTGACGCCTCCTTGGGTTGACCATTGTCTGCACCGTCCTCAGGTTGTTCTCCCAGGGAGCTAAACCTCTGCAGAGACACCTCACAGAATGATTGTTCTATAAAGAATAGAGTGAAAATATAAGACGCTTTAGGCTGGTAAGGGTGGAGTGGGGGGGGGGGGGGGGGGCCCCGGGTTTCATAAAAAAAAACCCCTTTGGCTTTTTCCCCCTGGGATCAAAATTTAATTTTGGTAAATTTACTTTTCCCCCAA